GGTTAAGGTTTTAACAACGTTTGGGCCAAGGGGGATAACAACCAATCACATCGTGCGAGTTAAAGATATATTTGGTTGAAGTGCAATTTTGAAGCAATTTTGGGTTTTTAACCCTGAGATATAATCCGAGAGCTCTTTTAACTCACGGATTAATCACGAGGCCAAACTACTCTGGATTTTTAAAACCTTTTTGAACCTAACAACATGCCTGGTCCTCTTGTGGATACTCTCAAATGGTCTAACTGGATAAAACGGTGTAATCAGTTAAAATGATCTAATTGGTTAAAATAATCCAACTAGTTAAAATAATCCAATGGTTCAGGCTATAATTAGATAAGATGGTCTAATCGTTCAAAATGGTCCAACTTCACTGGATCAAATTGGTCCAACAGCTTAAAATGGTCTAACTAGATAAAATGGCCCACTCGCTTAAAATGGTTTAACTAGATAAACTGTTCCAATTGGTTAAATTGGTCTGATTGGTTTAAATTGTCCAAACAGATGAAATAGGCTAACTAGGTCCAACTAGTCCAACTGAATGGTTCAAATAATTTAAATAGTCCAACCAGTTAAAGGAATTTAACTGGCGATCATGATTCAACCAGCGAAGTAAGTCCCACCAGTAAAAATGGTCTAATTAGAGAAAATGGTCCAACTGGCTAAAATGATCCAACTAGTAAATGGTCAAACCAGTTATCATGCTCCAACTAGTTAAAATTGTCTATGAGAAAATGGTCCTAATGATTGGAACGATTCCACCCTTTAACATTGTCAAACTAGTTAGAATGGTCAAACGTTTAAATTATCCGAACAGATAAAATAGTCCAACTGGTTCAACCGGACCTAACTGGTGTAAATAGATAAAATGGTCCAAATACTTGTTCATCATTAAAAGAGAACATTCCAGGACTAAATAGCTAGACTGATATTTATCCCATGAGCTTGCACAAGAAAAGCAGTGCTACCAGTAGAGTGAAGAGGAAAACAATTTCCCTTTTTTTATCAGTTTGTTTTCATTGTTTGAAACTTGCGAGGTGGAATTAGACACAAAAGAGGCTGGAATGCATTGCACATCTATTTGCTTTGTAATAGCAGTTGATTATACAAGGACAATAGGATTACTTTTCTTTCAAGTTGCCAAGCATTGCAGCTCTCTTGGCCTTGACTCTATCCTTCACTTTGAAATAATAACCCCCAAATTTCTGTCCCTTTACTGACTTGTACTGTGAAACTTGGAAAACCAATCACACTGGAACATTTAGGGAATTGGCGGAATGTTACCGTGTTGCAAAGGAAATTCAAATCAGGTGTCAGAAAGCTTAATTGCAAACAGCAGTGGTAATTAGTTTGTGGTTTTAACTCCTTGAAGTCTTTGATTAATCAGTTTTTCACGCTTTTTCTGAATCTCACAGGAATGTCTCTTCTCAATCACTTCCTGTTTTCATTTAGGAAGTAACAAAAATCTTCTTTAATGATTTAAATACTCTTACAAACTATTTAGGACTTCCACTGAGGGTCGTTCTCTAAGGTCATCTGTTGTGTGTGCATAATGACACTTCTCTGCTGTCACTGGACAACCATCAGGATGATGTAAGTAAAACCAGCACAATGAAGTTTTCCTTAATGCCTGAGATCTTCGCTGCTTCTTTCCAAAATTAGCCTTCTTTGCACCATGGCATGAGGATTCCTGACTCCAATCCCTCAGTTCAACTAAACCACCAGTAACTAAATAAGACAATTTTGAGTTACCGCTATGTCAAGATTTTATACAAAACTTCTACTGTGAAATCATAATTTCTTGACTAACAAAGATGAGAGAGACCCTTTAAATTTTGGAGTTACAACTAAATTCTATGCGGACAGAACAAAAAAAGGGAAAACACAGCAACAACAATTATTGCAGTACCAGCAACTACTAGTATAAGACAATTACTACAATTACTGGTACCCCTACTACAAGTACTACGGTAACCACAACTAACAAGTGCAAACCTTTGAAAATATGATAGTGATTCCGTAACAAGGTCTGAAGACCTCCACATTCATGCTTAAGTTGAACCAAAGTGTCTTTATCAAACAACTGAGCTGCTTCCCAAATTTGCATAGTACCTGACAGAAGAATGGAAGTCAATTGCTGAGTACAAGAACCTTGTAGTTAACAAACCTTGAGATAACCTGCTAGATACCAGAACAATCTAATAGTAGATAATAATAAGTCCAACCTGTATTTAACGGTACCAACAGGGAATGGCAGGGTGAATGCTTTACACAGGTCGACCCCTTAGTACATATGTGCTATTGATCAAGCATGAGTTCAAGAAGCCTGGATATTTACAGAGTTTGTTTACTCCCTTTTAATGGACCTTGACTTCACCTTGGTCCTTAAAAAACAAAAAAAGACAAGGCTAATATCTAGCCATCAAATAGACTTGGTCCATAAAGGATTTATTGTAAAGCAGAGAGGTTTTGCCTTGTTCAGCGTCAAGAATGACTGTTTCTTTGGAGAGCTGGGAAAGAGCACAATAAAGCAAGGAGAGTTGTTCGTGTTTCTTTTGTTTTGGCTGTCTTCTGCCCATTTTGGCCACTCCTTTGCCCACATACTTGAAAAAAAAATATGGATTTTGTCCATCCAAAATGTAATTTTTCCTGTGCTGGATAAAAGTATGCAATCTTGAGCAGGCAAGATGGGTCCTTTTTGCTTCAGTAGCCAATTAGAACATGGGATTTGCTTCATATAATGACATCAAAATGGTGGCATGGAGTAATCACATAACAATAACTTGGAACTACTGTAAATGGTATACTATTGTCTAACAGTTGGACCTCTTGCACATTAACTAGCAAAAGATTTGTCTTGTTTTTGACTAACATTTGTCTAAAGAGCCCTAAGAACAAACATAATTTGAAATTAGTGTTTTTTCTTTATAGTGTCTGAAGTTTACTCCATCAAATGCATTGAATTCACCTCCAACTGCAGAATTCAAGGTTGTAAAAACAGAATTCATTACATTTCAAAGTTACACCCATTTTAAAAAACGTTGAAATTTTAAAATATATGATTTGATGAGGAAAGGTAATTAGATATATATTTTTTTCAATTGAAATCTTTTTAAAATGGTGTACGATTGTATGTCTACACCCATTTCCAAAAATGTTGCAATTTAAAAATATTTAATATACCGTCTTTTCTCATTGAAAAGGTGTTGATAATTAATTGAAGAGGAATTTTTTTAAAAGCAGAGTACAATAGTTGCTTTTAAAATTTTGAGTCTGTTTCACCTTTGCACAATTTTTTGCTTCAAGTGCCCATTTGTTTAGATATATGATATCAATCAAGTTATCAAATTAATGAGGGTGAAAAATGAAAAAGGAGGACCATTTAACTGTGGTCAAGAAGACCAGTTTTCGAGGACTGCATAAATCATGAACCAATGGCCTCTTATAATTTCTTGTTTGAAACAACTTTACAATGAACATAGTGAACAACACAGTAACTCGGAAATTTCAGAAAGGCTTTGTTGCATATTTCAAAAACACTAGTTACAAAACAACACTTTAAGAAAAGTGACATTTGGTAGTAAACTCTTCCAGATGTATGCATCAAACATGACTCTAAGTCGTACCATTGTACCCCAGGAATGGACAAATTGTGTGGTTGTTTTAGCCATTTGTTAGTGAGATGGTATATATACCATCGGACCTACTTTTTCATGGTTCTGTCTGACTTTCATGGCTATAAATAAGCAGTCATAAAGTGCTGAATATAACTAACATTTCAAATATATAGATACATATATTTTTTTTCAATTCTCATGATTGACTGGAGATTTAAGGTATTTTGAGCCTAAAAAAGACAGCATACTCTGCTGTTATTGTTCACATTCCAAAAGTATGTCCATTGCCTTGATCAAATCACAAAGCACTGCCTTATTGTTTAGCTCTGTTCTTGTTTTGTGCCTGCAAATATGGACATCAAGTACCATTCCACAGTTTAAATACTTTTCAATGTAACCATGAGGTTGCAGCTTTGAGTTTGCAGTGTCATTGATGTGTTTGGATGAATTTAAAATGTGTTTGCTGTGGTTGTCGATGATCTGTTTAGGGTTACTCCTGCAGCTGTAACTGATCTTGACTGTGTTACGATTAAAGATTTTCTAAGTTCGTAGTCTTTCGGAAAGTGCTTGCCCTAATAGACAAGAAAAAGCTTTCATCTTTAACCTACCAAGCCACCATCACACGTAAGGACAACAGCACCTCTGAAACATACATTGGACTTACAGAAAAGGACTTTGAGACTAGATACAGAAACCATGGCTTCAAAGAAGAGCATTGAGGCACGAGTCCCAAGAACTTCACATTACAACATAACTTACCTTTTTTTAAGCCCTTCAAATGAGACAAAAATCTGTGATTTGCACCCTCAACAAGATGACAACAATCATTTGGAGTGTGTGGACTACTACCCACATTTCAATGTTACACAGAAAGAACTTCGCAAAATTATTTGCTAGTATTGATATGATTAGCTAATGAGTATTCCTTACCTCCTTTTCGCCATTTACCACTTTTTTCAACCTCTGAAATTGAGCTTGAAGGGCTCAAAAAGTCATCACTTGAAAGAGGTAAACCCAACAAATACCTTGCTACACCATTGACAAAATGTTCTTTGAGAGATCTTTCTAAAGTTGTACAGTTTCGTATTGATTCCTTCTGAGCACGAGGCTGAAAACTGGTAGGTGCTTGTTTAGAAAAGGTTGAGTAAGACTTGGTGGCAAACGTTTGAATGCTGGTGTTTCCTCTCCCTCTACACAGCAAGGCATCAGTAGCATGATGCTCATGGTGCTGCCGTTGGATGTCAACAGCCCCTCTACCTTCATGTTGATTAGGTGTTATGTGATTTTGGGAGGGAATATTCCTTAAAGTTTCAGGGGGCTGTTCATCATCAAGATTGCAACCTCTCTCTTGTATCATATCCTTAATTGATATGATTTGTAGGTCATCATTGTTCTCAGTGAATGTTCTTGGTCGTCCAATATGACAGATCTAATTGTAAAACAAGGTAAAGACAGGAAATAAAAATTTTGTCACATTGAACATATTTAACTTCATTGTTTGTATCTGTGATTTGTAAGTAATGGTACAAGGTACCAGTTCTACTATTGTAAATAGAAAGAATTTTATTTTGATATTTGAGAGTATTTAAGTAAATGGACTCCTTCCCTGTTTTGTGTGCTTCTGTAAATGCTTTCCTGCACATTTCCTCATTTATCTGATCATTTCTTTGGTTCATATTTTAGCATCATTTAGCATTAAAGGCGTGCTTTTCAAGATGGGATGCTTCAATTCTTTTTTTAATTTTACTTAAATTACCTTTATTTTTGGAAATTAGTAATATTCACATTTATCACCATTTACACAGTTTTATTGAAATTCTACTTTATACATAGTACATATAAAGTTTATCTCATAATATCACATTGCATTGAATACAGCCACAGTCCTAATAGGAGTTTGAAACAGCTAATGCTTTGGAGCAAACAGCAGGGCCAAACATTGGTGGTCGTATGGCTGCCAGTGGCAAGTTAAAACTGACCAGGGCCACCAAAAGTTAAGGTTTGAATGCCTGATGTGCGACTATGCTGCAGAATTTGGAAAAGTTGCAATGTAAATTATGTGAAGTACAAAGTTAAAAATAAAACTCAATATGTAGTTTAATTGGACTACCCTTCTCTTCGTTTCTTTGCTTGGACTCTAAGATCATCCATTTTAGTAAATTTTTAGTTCTGAAGGGGAAATTCTGAGTCGTTTTAACAGTGATTTCACGAGCGATCCACATTCACAACGTATAGACGCCATTTTGAGTCTGTGATTGCCACGTGACTCTGGACTTAGCCAGAGTTCTGTGTGTGATGTGTTCTTTCCTTTTAGTTAATGCTCTGTTCAAAGCCATGAGGCATCTAATCAAGTTTTTCATTTTAAAATAGAGGAAATCGAGGGCTTCTTCATTTTGGGATGGGCCACTAAGAATTCAAGGAAACTTGCCTGGCTGGCCACCAAGCACTGGAGTTAATTTTTTAGCCCTGAAAAAGGATAATGTAGGAGTCTCTAGCCTTAAATTTTCATGGTTTTTCTGCCGCAATTTTCCATTGGACTCTGGTTTACAATTTAAGCCTATGCCATGGTATGTCTTGGGATTACAATTTGAAAGAAATGAAAGAAGTTTTAGCTGGTACTTGGATAAATTCCCTAGGAAAGAAAAATATTGAACAATCATCTCAAGAGATCTTTTTGGATCAAGAGGCTTTGTGGGAACCATAATCAGAAGAAAGAAGGCTTTCTATCCACCAGTTTCTTTGTTTGAAAAGGAATGGTGTCACCTCCATCCTAATTGCTGTGTATGGCCTTGAGGTCATTTAAGCCCACACGAATATCTTAATAAGAGGGCAAAGTGAGCAAATAGCTTAAAATCATAAGGTGGGCAGAAAGTTAACCTATGCATAACAAATACAAATCAAACCTTAAACATAGATGAAAGAATTCATGAGAAGCACAAACAAACCCAGCATGAAGAGTAGCAATGAGCTGAAGGGTTGATGGTCCCAAACTGATCAATGGTCCAACAAAATAAATGACACTGTTGGGTACGCCGAAACACTGTGCCTCACCAGATATGACTTTTTGTGATCCATCAAATATTTTTGCTTGTGCACAATTGGTCCAAACACAGCATGAAAATGAATATCCCCTAGCTTTAACTGGGTGATATCCAAGCAGTATTGCCCAATTTTCAAACCTTTATGTCCTCTAGGCCTTCATTTGAAATTTAATTCAAGATGAGTGAGGGTTTTTTGGTTGTTACTGAAGAAGGAAAATCTTCTTTGTTCATTAAGTCGTACCAGAAAACACTCAAAAGAAAACATTCGATGCTGCATACAGTAGGCTGTTTGTAAACATTTTTTATGTACATTGCAAAATACTTGAAAGCAAATGAACTCAATAGCCTCTATTTTGCTTGAAAATATGACCAGATATTTATTATCTGTTCCTCAAGGCTCACAGTTTTCCTCAAGCTTCACTCTCGGGAAACTGTTTGCATCTTGAAACAGATAATGTTTGTGGACGAATCCCTACAAATTTTTGGTGCCAAATAGAGGCTATTGTTGATACAGCTTGAAAGTAATAGCCTGAGATTTAAGAGTATATGTTTCTCCATCTTGATGTAGGAGTAAGACAAAATGGGTTAAAAGAGCTGTTGATTTCCTGAAAACATTAGTAATGAACACTCTCAGCTTGGTACAAACATACCCAACTCAATTGAGATCATGGCTTTGTTGGATTAATTCTTAGGGGTGATATGTTAAGTACAGAGTTGAGACTAGGTTCCACTTAGTCAGGATCATATGATCCTCTCTTGGTCGACTGTATCTTAAACCACTCATTGTTGTACATCAACACATTTGTTTTGATAGAAAGTTCCCATATTTCTCCCTCTTTTGTATCTAATTTTTGTTTTTATTGATTCTCCCTGTCTCTTCCATGTTCTCTGTTTTGCCTGCTCACAAAGCCAAGTGGCTTTATTTTTTGCCATTCTGCAATATTTTTTGTCATTTTTATTTTCAATTTGTTATAAGTGTGGTTGGGAGTTATATATTGTGTAATTAAGCAGAAGGAAATGCACTCTTTCAGTCCAATAAAAAAACAAGTGAAAGGTTCAGTATGAAGTAAAGGCAGATGCATGCCATAAATTTGGACTTCTTGGAGAAACAAAATAATGATTTGTAATAACAAAACTAATGTTGAATCAGTTAAAGAAATTGAAACTAAAGAATGTTACTTACTGAGTGGTAGGATCATTGAACTGGGTTTAAAAAGCTTCATTTCAATCAAGGGACTTAAAAATTTTTCAGAGTTACTTTTGGTTCCCATTTGAGATGCCATAAATTTACTTCAGGTAAATTTAAATACATTCAAAATCCTAAAGGTTACTACAGCTCCTATGAGCTCAATTCATGACGTTGAAACATCATTTTCAAGTACTTCAGACTTAACAACCCTTGCGTTAAAATAGAAATAATCTCAGCTTCAGCATACCTTCTTTCTTTTTGAGCCCAAAAAGGATATTTTTATCATAACAGTACTTAGAAGGCACCACTTAGCTATTTACTTACCTAAGTATGTAGAATTGTGAAAGTAACACAATCCTCCCTAGCCTTGAGGTGAAAAAATTTAGCTTTTTGTGATTCTCACGGTGTCAGCTTCACATAAATCACTTATCAAATACCTTAATGCTAATTCATCAAGAGCAAGGCATGACGCATTATATGTCACAAAAAACAAAGAATCTCAACCATGTTGCTACCCCCTGAGATTTGGTACAAAACGGTTTAGGTGCATGGTTTGACTTATTCCTCAGCAGCTTAGAAGCTGATCTGCCTAATCACACCCTTAAAGGACAATTTCAACATATAATTATGTAACTTAAATTATTACCCTTTTGGTAGAAGGAATCCTCAATGAATCTTCTTCTACCTGAAAGCCACATGTTTTTCCCACATTGTACACAAAATCCAGGTAATCTCGATACTGCGTCACTTTGCTATTTTTCCTGTTAAACTGGTAAAAATAAACAGATAAGAAAGTTTATATTTGTAGCTGGCACAGTAGAAAAAAATTGAGTGACAGGCGTGAACTGTATTGGTAAAGTGACAAATGTCCTGCCCTTGCATTAAAAATTACAATTTTACGCATGCAAATTTGCAATTCTGTTCAAAGGAGGACTTATGATTGAGTATCACGATAAAACTCCCTGATAAAGGTGGTAGAAAAAAACAGAGGTAATCCGAATTAGAAAGGGAGGCTTTACCAAAACATTTTTATTTGTGTAATGATAAGGGTGATTTAAAAGGTTTCCAAGCAAATTTCAAAACATTTTGTTTGTAGGTATCTCACATGATCTGACACCTGTCAATTAGAAAGCATGTAAGAAAAAAAAAAAAGAAAAAGAAGCCCCTGTACACTTTTGCAAAAGTAGCAATACTGGTTTGAAAGGTTAAATCAAGTTTAATGACTATCACGACAGAATGAAGCACAAACAATCTTAGTAACCACATAATTGCATAACTTAAGTCAGTACTGGATGTATAATTACTCACCTTACAGTTAAAGTCAAACAAGCAACATGGTAGAAGGAAATATCGAGCCATGGTTGATGACCTATCAAGTGACAAAGAAATATTTTATTTTACAAAATACCAAAATATTAAGATCAGATAGGGCCTGATGTCTGATGAACATGTGAAATAGTATTAAGTATGGCTTTGATGTGTGAAATGATGGTCTGTGTCTCTGGTCCTCAAGGTCGAAAGGTGGGATGGCACTAGTATTGGGTATAACTAAGATTATTAACATCATGGACTGTGAGTGTGATGACAGTGTTGACAAGACATACAACAAAAACATTCACTGGTTGGTTTATGCTTGGTGTGGGTATATCAAGGTATGAACCCACACTGAAAATTTGGAAAGCATGAGAGAAGCATAAGAGTTCCAGAAAGCAGCCTAAGATAAGTCTTACTTCTTTAACACAGAAAAAAGCATGAACCAGCTTGTGCACAAAAAATACTGCTTTTTCAATTTTGTGGTATGCAAAACACAAGATACAAAAATACAAAATAATATTCAAACTGAAATCATTTAAAGCTCTAAAAGTCTATATAAATCAGGACAGAATGGTAAAACCATCTTAAAAGTTTTATAAGTTGCAGCTGCACTGGACTGGAACTTGGCAAAATGCCCACATCATGCTATATACACTCTGCTGTGCATAGATGGAGATTTATACCATGATGGCTCAATAGGATTCCAATAAAAAAAGTGCGCATACTTTTTTGTTGCTACTGTCACCTGTAGGAGTTGAAGTCACATTTTTCATTGAGGCAAGTGAGTGAGTGAGTGAGTTTAACCCTGTCTGGAACCAATGCTACTTAGTGTTTGTTTCAAAGTAATCTTTGATCTTCAGCATTCACACTTGATACACAGTTGAGTTCTCCCTTTTGGTTGTTTCTGGCTTACAGCCACTAGCCCATTATGTTTCCAGTTCATGCTGTGACACTACTGAAGGCAGCACAAGACGATAAACATCTTACAATCATTTCAGGATTGCATGCCATTAAAAACAAAAGTTTTCTTAACAGAAATATCTAAACCCTTTAGCTCCCAGATCAAATTTGTAATTATCCTTACTATCAACCATACAATACTTATAATGTTAGCTCTGGGAATTTAGTATTGGATCAACTAATTAACCCCAAATTGAGATTTTTTCTTTATTCTCATCACTTATATCGTTGATATTGTATTGATGTTGTATGGAGAAATTCTGTCTTTGTCATGCACTCATGGGAGTTAAAGGGTTAATTGGTGTGATGGGCCCATCATAAAGCCTGAGGGAAAAATTCTTTTTCTTTAATGAGAGCATTTTACAAAGACAATCTTTTCAGTTCTTGCCCTGGTACAACAAAAGATGATAAGCATTTCAAAACAATTTTCCATGCAGAAATATCTCAATAGATATGTTGTGGGATGACAAACAAAAATTACCTGAAATGCTGAATGCCTTTTTGTATTAAACGAAAGTCTTAAAAATGGAATTGCATTGAAGTAAGAAAATTATTTATAATTAACAGGCGGAATTAAAAGAAGCAAAGGTAATCATTGTTGGAGTCCAGACGATAGGGGAACCACACGGCTTCTGGGTTAGCCCCTTCACCTTATTATTATGTTACTATTGCATTGACAATGAAGAAACATATGATAATACTTAGAACTATTCGTCAAAGCCTCAAAAGTGAAATGTACTGAACATCAAATCCTTTCTGATCATCACAAGATAAACCCACCTAGCAGCCATTACAGGTATCCAGGGAGTGAGTTCATCAGAATGATTGCCAATGAGCCAGTCGACATCTGGAAACAGACCAGGTAAAGTAGGATTCACTGCCTTTTCCTGTAAATGGAACATTGCTGGTCAGAGGCTAAGATTACAGATTGGATTACATCCAATCCAGAAATTTCATTAATCAAAAAAATATGATAATATTAATTAAAAAGACTATGGGCTAGTTATTTAAGCAGAGGTCAGCCCTTGTTTAAGAAAACCACGTCCTAAACTATCCTTAATTTAGCTGAACCTTCTGAACAGCGTCAAGAGGGCCAAAAGCTATCAGTGGAGGGACATTTATTTAATCAAAGCAACCCTCCTAGAGAGAAAACCTGAGGCCCAATCATTACATAAGACAATAATTTGGGTTCCACCTTTTGTAAACAACTGGCCCTGAGGATATAAAAGCCATAATAAGTGCGACACAAAGGCTGCTGATTAGTACATATCATAAAGGCCCCAGTTGTTCAAAAGGTGAATAACCTGATCCGCTTGATAAATCTCTATCTGGTGGACAGCACAATACATTTAGTTAATACTTATTTGCTAGAAAGCAATCTATCCATTGGATAGCATTGTCCATCCTTCAAAAAACTGAGCCAAAGTGACTAGTGCTTTTTCCTGCTCATTGATTGGTTAGTTCAGAAGTGACATATGCATTATCAATCAGCTGTGAGAGGTGATATAAGCATTATCAATCAAGTGTGTGGTGAAGATGGCTGAATATAGTATACAAAAGATATTGTTCCTTACCAAGAGTCAAGAATGAGTGGCTTACTTTGAGAGCCAGCAAAGGAAGCCAACTATGTAGCACAATAAACCCACGAGAGTTGTATATGTTTTCTTTTGTTTTAACTGCATTCTGCTGCTTTTTGCGATTCTGTCGTCGACATGGTCCTGTTGTGACTGTTTTTTTTGGGAGTTGCATGACTGACAAACTTGTTTTGAAATTGTGAGCCTTGGTTCAAATTACATACCTCATGGAAAATATGCATTGGTGACATTTTGAGAGAGGAGAGATTTTGAGTTATATACAACATTTTGTGAAGATTAAATCTTTAATTTGAGAAACTAAAGTGAGTTATCTGGTGTCTCTGGAAAACGGAATTTTGGTTCCCACACCAAAAGTGGCGACCCTGTCAGGACAGCAATACATGTGAGCAAGAGTGCAAGAATCTTGAGGGAATTGAATAACAAAGCTATCAACAAATCTAGTGAGAAATTCTACAAATATGGTGGATAAAGCTGAAGCTGAGAAGAACTACGCTAAGGAGTGGAAAAAGGCAACCTACTATGTCCAGGAGATAAAAGAAAACATGACTATGGAGGTAAAAGAAGATTTGCTGTTGGCTTATGAGAAAATTTGCGGGATTTGTAAAAGCCTTGAGGATTCGGTGGACCATGTGAAGGACGCAATGTTGGATGCAGAAATGAGTCTTTAAGAGGTGAAAGTTTGGGCACACGTTTGTAAAGAAGAGTTAATACCAGTGCACAAGTTAAGGAATAAGCTCAAGCATGCATTGGATAATTTAGAGAAAAAAGAAATACACAAGTGAGAAGAAGACTGGTTTCATAAGAAGTTTGAGTTGGAAATGGCACTCAAAGAGAAAAGCTATGCAAAAGATAAGCAAACCTCAAGTGGTTAAACTGCAGAAATATATGATAACAGCTTTCAAGGGAGACTGTAAAGACCATGTCCCAACAAAAGACAATCCCAGAGACCAAGGAAGTAGAAGCACAGAGCCCTGTAAGATGGGAGAGCTTTGGTTTAAAGGACCAGACTGGCTAAGTTGTCTGGGAAAATGGCCACAGCAACCTGAGGTGTCAGAAACAGCAAAAGAGGTGTTTGAAACAGCAAAAGAGAGTGTGAAGCCTAAGTTCGAGAAACAGCTTCTTGCCAAAGAAGAAAAGAAAAATCCAATTGTGGATCAGCTTCTTAACAAGTATGCATCTTATCAGAAGCTTCTGAGGATAACTACCATTGTGAGATGAAGAAAGAGAAACAGAAGGGACCATTGACAACAGAAGAAACACAAGCAGCAGAGAAGTACTGGCTTCACCAGGCCCAGGCATCTCAGGATGTCAAGTCAGATGTTGCACTGAAGAAGGATGAGGATGGAATATTAAGATGTTTTGGAAGAGTGAAGGATTACAACCCAATCTTTCTTCCCTGAAGTTGCAAGCTAGCCTTCCTTATTGTGAAACAACTCCATGAGCACATGATGCACAGGGGAGTCTCAATAACCTTATGTCGCATGCGAGAGAAGTTTTGGGTACCCAAGTTAAGAGTGCTGACTAAGAAGGTGATACAAGACTGTACAGTTTGCCAATGCTATTGGTGGAAGCCATTGTCCACTTCACTTATCTTGGAGTGTAGATTGTCACTTTTCAGAACTGAACTATCAGACACTTTTGTTGTGACGTGGGTAGATTTTGCAGGACCAGTGTACTATAAGATTACAAAGTCAAGTACAGCAAAGGCATAAATCGCACTGTTCACTTGTGCTAGCATCAGAGCAGTCCATTTGAAGCAATGTCGCAATCTGTCCACCACATAATTTCAGTGAGCCTTAAAGGAATTTACTGCCAGACGAGGATGTCCCCCTGGTGGGGAGGCTTCTTTGAGTTCCTAATTGGCATTATGAAAAGGTGTATGTCTAAAGTGATTGGCTGAAGTCTACTCAGCTATGAAGAGTTGCAAGAAGTCCTGTTAGACATCGAAATCTACATGAACAACAGGCCATTGTTTTATCAGGGAGAGGAATTTGAGCAACCAGTGTTCACCCCAAACATGTCACTCAGAGGGAGGCCAAACCCCATCTTAGAGGAGGATCTTGAGAAGATTGGAGAGGAAGAAGTAACCAGACAAATGAGGTTTCTGCAGAAAAGCAAAGAACATGTTTGAAGGAGTAGAAGGAGTATGTGCATGCCCTTGAAGAAAGACAGCAACTGCCCACCAGTAACATTGCCGAAATCCCAAACACAGGAGCGCTGGTGTTGCTTAAAGATGAAACCAAGAATAGAGCACTGTGGAAGCTTGCACGAGTGGTAGGAAAGGTCACAGGCAAGGATGGAACAGTCTGAGGATTGAAGCTTAAACAAGGGAATGGTTACATCGTGGAGCGTCCCTTGCAACTCATATGTAAACTAGAAATTGGAGGAGAGGATCCTGACTGCCAGCCAAACCCAGACCAAGATTGAGACCAAGTAGAAGATCCAAGGAGATTGCAAACGAGAGAATCAAGGACATTGTTTCACAAGAAGTTTAAGAACATTTAAGCTGATTAACACTTAAATGGGGGGAGGGTGTCATGACTGTTTTTTTGGGGGGGTTGCGTGACTGACAACCTGGTTTTGAAATTGTGAGCCTCGGTTCAAATTACGTACCTCGTGGAAAATACGCATCGGTGACGTTTTGAGAGAGGGGAGATTTTGATTTGTGTACAACATTTTGTGAAGATTAAACCTTTAATTCGAGAAAGTAGAGTGAGTTATTTGGTTTCTCTGGAAAACGGAATTTTGGTTCCCACAGTCCAAAAATTATAATCTTTGTTGGTCCACTCCATGCATTTGTTTTTTCTTATGCAGGATAAAATCTAGTCAGTTCCTATTATCATGTTCATTCTTACTGTTAACTATGCCAACTCCCCCATTGTAAATTACAAAAGAACCTTCCACCATCTAAAAGAATCGTTGACTCCCCACTTTACCTGTACTATATATATATATATATATATATATGAATGTGGGGGTAGAGTCTACCTTGGCATAAAGTGCTCAATGCTGTGGTAGCAGAGCGAAGTATACACAAGTTAAAGAATTAAAGAGGACACATCAATTCTCTGTGACTCTGAGTTTCACGCCTAAGCACTCGTCAAACGGAACTTTTCTGTAGTGAGGTATACACTTCATTAAAATCCATCTGATGATCAGGTAAGTGTGAAACTCAGAGTCACAGAAAAGTTATTTTTTATTGATTAGTTCAACCTTTAGATATACCATGCTCTACGGACACATTGAGCACTATACTGCAAGGATAGACTATAATCAATATATATATATATATATATAATGCTTATCAAGGATTTAAGTGACTTTGAATAAAAAACCTGGAGTGAGGTGTCTCCACCATACATATCCCAAATTTTACGTCGACGCACATCAATACCACTTCCTGGATGCTGAAATGTAAAAATATTCAACTGATCCAATAATGTAGAAAAAATAAGATGGATCCACCAGTGAAAGGTGAATCTCGATTAAAAATTAAAATCATCAAGTCTAGTTAGTTCAAAGATGTTGTAAAAGATAGCACATGAATACATCAAACTAGTTTTTATGCACTGAGCATAGCCTATGACAACGTATTTTATCATCTTGAGCTTGAGATTTTTTTTGGGGAGGGGGGGGAAATTGTGGATCCTATTTTTTGAAATACATTAATAAGGTCAACTTTTCTTGTCTGTAAAGGTAATTACTGTATGAGAGTTGTAACAAGTATTGGAAAATCTAATTGTTTCATAACCCACACTTTCCTTATACCTTCAGCAACAGCTGCTTTGACATTACTGACCTAATCACTCTTATTATTGTACAGGCAGTTGCAAATGTGGGTTTCAACTGCACATGGTGTTGCATTTGAATAACCTGCCTAGCAGGCATTTTTTTGTGTTTTATTCCCCTTGCAGCTTTGAAACTTACTCAAATGCTTCCCATCAAAACCACTAGTTAAAAACACCAGTTATTATGACCTTGCATGTAAAATAGCCTGTTTATTATACAACTTATCCCCAAGGAATCTAGAGTAATTGCTTTAGTTATGTCTAATTTTAACTAACTTTCCTGCAATATTTGTGCATCTTTCATGACTTAAAAAAGTGATTGCCCAGTTCAATTCCTTTCAATAGCAAAATTTTGCTAAATATCTTATTCCATGGGGTCTGTGCTTAATTATCAGGAAATGCTTAATGATGAAATTTCACAAAAAAAAGAAAAACACATACCCCTTCCTTGCTGAGAATGTGAACCAGGAATCCATTTCCACATCCAAGATCAACAAAGCTCTGTTTCTGCTTAAGATTCTTCTCATATCTCTCCTTCTTCCAAAGGACCTATCACAATTTAATATGATATCAATATCACAGTCAGTTGGGTGCTCTATCCAAAGCAACCACATCACTTAAGAGTTTACAACTATTTATTGTTCATTATAATTATGTATTACTGGTAGGTTAATCAGGAAAGACTACAAATAAAGATTGTTGCTGCTGCTGCTGTTTAAGGGTAGAATAGACATGTACTTGTCTTGTAATGAAAGCAAAATTTATGGACACCAAACACTTTGTTTGATGTTCACAAAAGTAACCATTTGTAGTCGACAATTTTTCCCTTTGTTGAGCATACCCATGCATTTCTTAATCGGGTCACTTGTATTAGTTAAGGACCCACTTACATGGCCATTTCAAAAGTTAACACATGATGCACGTAATAAAAGCAACTTCAAGTGCTTTACCAGACAAGAAAAGATGTGATTTGTATAGCTGCTTGTTCATAACATACTTAGACTCGCGATGCTTTGACTGCATACTGGTAGTCTTCTTCAGGTGATGAGGTCAACTGGTCATGCGTGATCTTATGAAGCATGATGCTCTGCTATGATTAGCTTCTTGAATATAGGGTACATGACGCTCCTTGGAAAGGGAAACAGAGTTTCCACACCTTTATTGGTTTCAAGCAGGTTGGCTCCAGCAAAAGTAATTTTGTCTCGGCCAGGATTCGGTCAGACTAGGGTTATGTTGACAAGATGGATGAAGCATGGCTTCACCACATTTGCTGTACCTGGTCATGATCTGCTGCTAAATAGAACGATTTATATGGATGTAGAAAGTAATCTTGGACCAGGAGATATTATGAGGGAGACCACAGATCAACTAGATGAACTGAACCCGCAAGGGAGCGATACGAGTAAAACAACATACTCCTGAGTTTGTTTGCTGAATATCTGTCACCAGTACTGAAGTTCTGTTAGCCCCTCAGTGCTTCAATCCTTTAAGTTGCTTGGCATCTTAAGATATAGAGGATCTAGAGGAGGCTGTCGACAAAGGATTCCAGTCAAGATTTCTAATAGGAGGGATGAAATCAGTCATTGGAGTGTCGACTGCTGTCCTGTTAATGGCATGGCTAGAGCAAACCTTGTCCCTATTGCTAGACAAGTGGATCCTACGACTAACAAATCCAGCTCAGAATTTATGGTACCTAAATTTTTATCTACAAATATTTGCAGCCTTGCCAAGACTAAGAACCACGTTTGAGCTGCTGTGGCACTGGAGGCAGATTTGAATAACAAAGACATTGATATCTGTGTTATTTCTGAGACCCATCTTAAGCCAGGAATGCTGGACACTATTGTTAACATACCCAGCTACAAAATATTTAGACAAGATAGGAACTGGTTAGGCCTGGATAGCAGATGTAAAGGTGGAATCACTATATTTGCAAGGAGTGACTTGGACATAATTGATTGCTATAAATCAGAAGTGTGTGGAGTGTACCACCTGCCCCAGCCAACATACAGGCATTCGGACTTTCTACAATACCTTGTTCATTTAGTGGACAATGCTTTAGATCAACACCCTGGATTGACCATTGTCTTGGGCAGCGATACTAACCAACTGGAGGTAAATGATCTTTGTCAATTGACAGCATGGAACTTCCTTGAGGACTTTCCAACTAAGGGTGTTGCATACTTGGATAATGTCCTTACAAATCGACCGGACTAATTTGGGAAATGTGCTTCATTTTCTATATCAATAAAAACGGATCACATGGCGGTCATTTTACCAGTGGGATCAAACCTCAAACCTGTTTTCCAAAAAATTCGCATCTGGGATTGCAGAAAACACTGAAAGGAGGTGTTATACTTAGAAATTGTGGGAGAGACTTGGGATAGTGTCTTGGGAACAAACGATGTGGATGAGGCTGTGAATAACTTAGAAACTCTTATTCACAAAAACGTGGATAAGTGCATGCCATTCAGAACAGTTTGCATCTCATCGCATGATCCGGTGTGGGTAACACCCCCTCTCAAGTCCCTGATGAGGTCTAAATCCAGGATTGGTCAAAACAGGGGGGATCAGCTTCGGGAATTTAACAGGAGAATAAGTGAAGTTATCAGTGAGAACAGGAGAAATCTCCTTCAAGCACCTGTAGGAGCTGGGAAGTGGTGGAAACACATGGATAGCCTGTCACAGCACCAGTGTTCCTCGGCCATGGTTACATTGGACATGCAATCTTTGGCTGAGCTGAATGATTATTTTGCTGAATTTTGTCGAGACAGTGCGTATAAACAGCCTACACCTGCCCAACTTGAGAGAGGAGTTCAAGTTCCTGAGATTTCAGAAAGACAGGTATGGAATTGTTTGCAGCACCTGAAGAAAACTGCCACTGGATCAGACCTCATACCATTCTGGGTATGGAGAGACCACACGGAAATTTTTACACCTTTAATTTGCAAGATCTGGAACTTATCCCCGAGGTTCAGTACCTGACCCTCATCATGGAAAAGAGCTCACTTGAACCCCCTCCCAAGGTTGATGTTCCCAAGGGAAAGATAGACTACAGAGGAATCAACATCACCCCTGTAATTGCACGTGCATTTTAAAAGTCTGTTTATAACATTCACGTGAGGGACACTGTTGAGCAACATCTGAGCTCAACTCAGTTTGCCTACAGGACAGGGGGAGCAGTATTGACACACTCCTCAGTATGCAGCACACCATCTATAGTTATCTAAATGACCCTAAGTGTAAAGCCGTGCGTTTGCTTGCCATGGATTTCAGTAAAGCGTTCAATAGTGTTAATCATAAACTTTTGTCCTATAAGCTTAAGGATATATCGTTAAATCCATTCATAATCAATTGGTATTTAACCTTTCTTGAGAATCGTCAACAGTGCATTATTTATAATAGTTTTCAGGGACAATGGAAATGTGTGAACAGGGGCACAACACAGGGTAGTGTGAGTGGTCCATACTTATTTAGTATTTTTATTAATGATTTGGAAATCAGCATAGATAATCACCCAGCCCTGTTTAAATACGCAGACAACTCTACTCTCATTGTTCCCATTTGGAGTAATGACCACTGATGTACGGATTTGGTGGATTGGTTTTTGGTTTGGTCTAAGGAAAGTAATATGATTTGTAATCTGTCGAAATGTAAAGAAATTATTTTTCGCAAGAAAGGTTTTATTCAGGATATTGCGCAAGTTAATAACATTCGGCAATGCACGAAGCTGCCCATTTTAGGTGTTACGTTTCAGGAGAATTGTAAATAGAGCAAACATGTATGTGCTAAGTTGATTTAGGCAAATAAGTGTCTGTTTGTATTAAGATCTTTACGGAAGGAAGGTTTCAGTCAAGGTGAAGTAGACCACCTATTTAGTGCCTTAGTTTCACTAAACTCCACTTATGGTCTGCCTGTTTATGGCACTATGGACACAGATCTCATGGTCATACAAAACTTTATGGACAGATGCTTTAAAGGCAAATACACATCTAAGAGAATAGACATTCAGGAACTTTTAGAAAAGGCTAATAAGAAGATTTTCAAGGTACTTTCAGTGGATCGCGATTGCCCACTTAGTAACATCATTCCAAAGAAGAAAGAAACAAAGTACCAACTCAGAAACAAAAGTGCTCATCACCCAGATATAAAGACTGACAGATTTAAGAATGTTATTGTAAATAGGCTTATCTTTAAATATAATTTTTGATCTTTCTATTGTTTCATATAGTATGTCTTATGTATATCTATACAGTATGTCATGTATTTTCAGACTCCTAACTGCCGATGTAACTTAAGATACGTCTTTTTATCTTTGGAGGAATAAAGATTGATTGATTGATTAGTTGTTTTTAAACAGCTCTGATTGATGCATTTCGATCCTTGCCGTTTCATTCAGTGATTTGCTCCCTTGGTGGTCCGCTGTCACTAGGCTCTCCTGTTGTTGTATTTTTTGATCATGGGCATCCACGCTTCTGGAATTTCTATTCCACTGTCTCTGTTAACGTTGTCAGGGTGAAGTCTTTTGATTGTGGATGCCCACAATCAAAAAACACAACAACAGGAGAGCCATGCAACGGCAGACCGCCAAGGGAGCAAATCACTGAATGAAAAAGCAAGGATCAAAATGCACCAATCAGAGCTGTTGAAAACCAACTAATCACAGCAGAGCATCATGCTTAATAAGATCATGCATGACCAGTCAACCTCATTGCCTAAAAAAAAAATTAGCAGTATGCAGTCAAAATGTCACAATCTACATCATGTGACTACATCGTGAGACAAACGAAAAACTTAGCTTTTATTGTTATTCACCGCGATGAATAATCACAACCTTTTTACGATACTTAGACACGTTCCCATAATGACTGAAAGCATATAAATTGGCTTAAAAATATTTTGCAACAGACAGGGATCCTTAAAATGTAAAGTTGCTAACAGAAAACATCTCCATTAGTGAGGGATGTCACTATGTCGAGAATCAATGACATGAATTTTCTTTGACACTCTTCACAATGCTCTTAAGTTAAGATTTCAAGTCACAATAACTGAGTGATTTTGCCCCCAATTTGGAATAGCCCGAACTAAATTTTCAGCCGCTAAAGAACCTACACGAGCCCTGGCCTCTTAATTACTAAAACTGTTTCTGGACTATGAATGTGGAGTTTTTGTTGGATTAAGATTTCAAGCCCTCAACCCAACATTCACAATTTAGTTTGGGATATTAAAAAAGGTACTGATTCTCTAACAGGCTGACATTTTACAATGGAAAATAAGTAAATAAAGTAGATAAAAAAGGTAAAAACAAAATTTTTGGCTGGCTCATCCAAGATTGTCGGAGAAGTGGAGTTAGTACGCTAGTGCGTTGGTACACAAGAGACATGCAGTCCTTTAATCGACCTTAGTACGTTGGTACGCAAGTCATTCATGCTTGTTCCAGAAGTGTAGTTAGTACGTTAGTACGTTGGTACGCTAGTGACATGCAGTCCTCTGATTGAACGCTTGTACACAAGGACGCAGGTCATTCATGGTTGTCAGAGAAGTGGAGTTAGTACGCTAGTACGTTGGTACACAAGAGACATGCAGTTCTTTAATCGAACCCTAGTACGTTGGTACACGTCATTCGTGCTTGTTCGAGAAGTGTAGATAGTACGTTAGTACGTTGGTACGCTAGTGAAATGCGGTCCTCTGATCGAGCGCTTGTACATAAGGACGCAGGTCAGTCATGGTTGTCGCAGAAGTGGAGTTAGTATGCTAGAACGTTGGTACGCTAGTGACACAGTTAGCATACGTACTGATAGTACTGCAGTACTGGTGAATACCGTTAGTACTGTAGTACTGGTGAATACCGTTAGTACTGTAGTACTAGTGACTAAGCAAAAAACTAAAAGAAATCTTTCCTAAAACGGGCAGCAAGAAACGTGTCAATTAAAATATGCCGTCAAACAAACTTATCTTGAAAAATGTCTTGGCATCAATGAATAAGCTCCCATTCTTTACTCTGGTAAAATTTATGAAAATAAATCATATGTCTGAAATCAGTGTTCATTAAGCTTTAAGGAAATGTATACTTTTATAGGGTTAGCATGCATAGCTTTCACGCTTTCTCAGTTTGAGCGAAAACACTAATTTCCTTCTGTGATACCTCAATGATAATAAAAGTGTTTTTACAAGGATTTCTAGCCCTAAGAATTAGGCTGTAACTATACCCGTGTAAAAATTTTCTATGTGAACTTGAAATCACTGTCAGTTTGCACCACTCCTGTCATATACAGTCATCAACGAAATAATACACAGTTGCTTGTAGATATGGAGTTTCTCCTCTTGTGTTTGAATTGATATCTCAATTGTTGGCATCAAATTGAACTCTTAAAGAAAATTCCATACCTAAGTGTGTCTATAGATTATTCTCTATCTAACAAATTAAGAATATGTATAGCCTTACTAGTATAAGAGAAATAATCAAAAGCACATCACATTCAATACCACTCATAGACTACAAGCCTTCCTTAATATAAATGTTCCAAACTGTGTTTTTAGAACTGTAAGACTGCTCTAAGTTTTAATTGATAAAAAAAGGATTTCCATATGAGAGGAGCAGCATTGACAGAGGCACAATTTATAAGTTTAGAGCAGTTGACTTTTGAAACAAAAAGAAGGTAACATGTTTAATTTAAACCACCAGCAACTTAAATTGTGCCATTTAAACCAGAGGATGAAATCCACAATAAGCTAGTGTAGATTGATAAGAACAGGAGTGACATGATCAAATTTTGCAATCTGAAAAATCACCCCAAGAATCCTGAACTTTCTGTAAACAATCCATAAGGCAGACTAACACAAACTGAGTCACAATAATCATGTATGGAAAAGAGTTTCCTGATCTGCCTGATGTTTTACAGTTCACACAAAGCCCTTCTTCACCAAACAAGGACCAAAGGTTTCAAAGGCTTTATAAAGGCTAGAGATGGCCTCACCAACAACAAATAAATCAATTGATATCTTCTAAAGTTGTCAAAGTGTGCCATAACTCAGTTTTCTCAACAAAATGCACTTTCTGATCACAGAACAGTGTTGCTTTCTGAGTGAAAAGAGCAAAGTCTGAAGGAAATGTAGATCTGAATGTCATCAGTTTATTCATAAATGAAAGTGAAATGATGAGAAATAGTAATTAAAAAATAGGTGGGAGATATAAGGTGTAAATAAAATTGGAACCATACAACTATCTTGACTGACTCCATGGTCAAGAGTTGAGTTATGGGAAGTTTTACCACCAATCTAAATATGCTGCTAATGATCACATAAAAATGAGTCAAATCAGTTTAATGCAGGACCAAGGGCTCCAAAATCCTACTGCATGATATACAGAAGAATGGCATATTAAGTGGTATCAAAGGCAGCACTTATAGGGTCCAAATTTATGAGAAGTGTCACTTCCTCATAATCCATATTCAATAAGCCGTCAATTTGATTTTCTGATATCACAGTCTTTGTCAAGTGAACTGAAATTTAGGAAGATGAAGAATTTTTTAACTACAATGGATTATATGTTGTTTAGGAGCAGTCTCTTAAACCCTATTTGCCCTAATACTGTTATTCATATTCTCAACACTGTCATCTTTATATTTCCTGCAAGATAGTAGTGATTAGGAGGATTTGTTTGGCAATTACAAGTTTCTTCAGTTTGTAATCATGTTCCTTATTTTAATGACCTTAATTTTGGATTCAGCAGTGATGCTGTAAGAAGAAGTTAGATCCCAGTCACTCTTTTGCAATAAAAGGTTAAATGATAGTTGAAATCTCTACAGATAGCAAGGGGCCCCAAGGCATATATCAACATTCTCTTAAAACTGAGGGAATTCAGTGAAGATGAAACAGTATTATCTTATAAGGAAGTGGAGGATGAATCACCAGTCTCACAAACTAAGACAATCCACTCAGAACATTTAAAGGACTTTTCTCCCTTCCTATAAATTAAAAGAGAGTGGTACATGCATAGATTGAGAGATTAGTGTGTAATGGTTGTTCACAACAAAGGATATATCTACATTAGAATTAGTAATTTCTGGGATGAGAGGTGCAAATTCAGCAACAAAACAAAAGCATAGACAAAAAGTAGCCATCTAAAAAACCAGCACTGAAAACAAGTGTTTTGTTTGTTTTGTTTTGTTTTGTTTTCTATTTGACTGTTTGTTTGTTTGTTTTTTTGGGGGATGGGGGGATGGGGGGGGGAAGTACACATCATATTATTTAGGTTCCCTATCACAACTGTTGATTAAAAGCCACCTGTGTGTGTGTGTGTGTGTGCGTGCGTGCGTGTGTGTGTGTGTGTGTGTGTGTGAGTGTGTGTGTGAAGAGCCAGCAAGCAGCACTTATCCATCCTAAATTCCTGCCATATTTTACTGGGCTAGTTTTAGCATCTCCATAAATTAGGAGCTGACCTGATGCAGGCTACACCATCATAAATCAACACAAAGGGTTGGCAATTAACAGAAAACTGAGTTCAAGACAACAGCTATAGGAAAGGAGTTAAAGAATAAGTGGTATATGGAATTACCATAAAATTACTGACTGTATATTTAAGAATTCTCATTTTTATCAGAAACTATAGTACTTACCAGCAAATATGAAGCTATAGCAATATCTTCATACACAAATTTCTGGGGATCTGTACTTTCTGGCCACATCTGTTTGAGGAATCATAAATATTTACCATTAATTAATTGTACTTTATCATATGTCACATTTTATCAAATTTGATACTTTCAGCATGTACTTTCAAGCCAAAGTGAGACTCTAGGAATGGAAATCATAAAATCCATATGTTGCAAAAAAATACTAGTTTGTCCTGTTTTGGGGAACCAGCATTAAGTAGCATTTGGTGCTCAATAAATTCTGATCACCAACTTCACACTTGCTTCACAAGATGGCGTCAGTACTACAGGAGCACTCACCCAAGCCTCATAATTTTGCTGCTTATAGGAGGCGACATGGAGTTAAGTCTTGCTCCAACTTGAAGCTGAACGTGGCCTATTATAACACTCAATCTCTGATAAATAAATCATAATCCTTAGAAGCCAACATTTACAACTGTACAACTTCAATTATTGCAGTAACTGAGACGAATTTGGACAATTCACTGACATACACAGAGCTATTTTCTTCAAATTTTGTAGTATTCAGATGCAATAAAAACTGCAAAGGGGAAGGAGTCTTGGTAGCTATGAGTGACAGGATCATTTGCAATCTATGACACTTACTGGAAGAATTAGAAATTGAATTCTTAACGCTTGACATCCACTATTCAAAAACAATTATTTCAATTTTGGTATGTTTTACAGACCCTGTCAAGCAACATAAAATGTTTGTAAGCATTGCAGAGAATTTGGAATTACAGGCACCTCAATCAGAATTGACTTTAGTCCAAGACTTTAATCTTAAAGATATTGATTGGCAGAATAGATTAATTCTTAACAACTGAAACGATTAGAAGCAGTTCGGGGACATACTGTAATTTCTAACAACTTCCTAACTCGATAGGTGTTGTAACCAACAAGAGGAAACAATGTCCTTAACCTTTTGTTGACTAACAACAGCCATATCATTTACAATGTGGATGTTGGCCAACCAATTTCCGATCACAAAATCATAACTTATAAAATGAATAATCATCTGTAACAATGCAAATTATCTGAAAGAAAATTTTATGACTTCAACAAAGCTGACTGGTCGTGCTTAAATAAGCTGTTCAAATGTATTTTATAGCATATATTAAAGTTCACATGGCAGCCAGGTGGACAATCAGACATGGTTTGATGCTACTCTGGTTTAAAGATTTCATGAATGAAACTGAGAAGTAACAATTCTTAGACCCAACATTTCAACACTCCTGTCCAGTGCCTTCATCAGGGGTGATCTAAATGCTGCAACAGGAGGTCCTTTTATATGCTCACTAATGAACTACCCTTTTTTCTGACAAGGTGTAGATAGGCGTCAGGAAGTAAGCAGCCATCATCACAACTTAAAGGAGTGTGGGCAGAGTTAATATTCCAGGCTTCCAAACAAAGGTGCTGGTGGTAACACTGATGAGTGGTGATAATTTTAGACATCCCACCCAATTGCATGTTTGGTTAAGCATGTGTGCTCCAATAAAGCTGAATTTTCTTTTTTGCAAAAGTACCGTATTTCTTCACCTATAAGCTGACCTCGGCTATAAGTCGAGACCCGAAAAGTTAGAGACCTTCAACAGACTCGGGGAGGAAAGAATCTGATTGGTGGACAGAAATACGTTCTTGTCATGTCAATTTTAAAGCATGTCACATAAAGAGTGCTGCAGTCACAGAATTAACAGTCATTTTGGATTAACATTAAATTTGTACCTGTTTTTGAATCCCAAACCCTCGGCTATAAGCCGAATCCCTTTCTTATGAAAAAATCTCCCAACCTTTTTTGTCAAATACTGAAAAATCGCTCGGCTTATAGGTGAAGAAATACCGTAGGCCACTTTTTGATGCTCTTTCAAAGGTGTACCAAACCGATGTTTGGTCTGTCTGATATACTCATTATGACAGTCATTGCATGGAATAGAATAAATAGCGTCCATTCCTTGTTCTTTCACAACAGGATCCTTAGGTTTGGCAAAAATATACCCCAAAGTCTGAAAAGGGTTTTTAGCAACTTTAACGTTGTGGCTATTCAAAATTCTCTTGATGGGTTCCATAATACCCTGAATGTAAGGAATAACAGCAAAACCAATCCCTGGTTCCCTCTCATGAGAAGTGCTACTAGTTGTAAATAGTTTTTGGCAGTTACGGATAAAAGCTTTTGTATAGCCATTCCTCTTTAGGACATTGGAAACATATTTCCTCTCCTTAGCCTTTGAATTGAGTGAAGATGGTAGACAGTCAACCTTTTTCATTGCAGTTGATGAGTGCCACCCAAACAGAGAAATTAGAAAAAATGCCAAGCCCCATAGATTTCCCCAAACATAATCAAACTTTTACAAAGAAAGAAACAATTATAAAAGAAGGCCAAGAATAGTAATAATGATGATACATGGCTGTTATATAAAAATAAGAGCAACCTTTTGAAGAAAGAATGCTACAAGGTCCACTGGGAATACCTTAATAGATTGGCAAACAATCTGTTCAATGACAGAAATGAACAAAAGCTTTTCTGGAATTATTTAAGGTTGAAAAATAATGGAACAAATGATCTAATCATTCTCCAGCTTCATAATGGTGACATTTTAACAAATGAAAGCAATATCACTGAATCCATGGATGAATACTTTGCATTAGTTTTTACAAAGGAGTACTCATCTAATTTCCCATTATTTAACCAAAATTATCAAAGACACTGATCTTAGTCTTCTGCAATACTTGCCTAGGGAAATTAACAAGATTCTGAATCAACTCAAATCCCACAAATCCCCTGGCCTGGATGGTATTCATCCTATGATTCTAAAATTGTGCTGGAACTTTGTCTCCATCATCATGAGATGTTTTTGATACATTCTTTCTATCAGGCATGCTATCTCCCAACACAAAACTGGCTGATATCATTCCTTGACACAAGAAAGGTGCTAAAAGTATTCATAAGAATTACCATCCTGTCTCATAAACATTGTTTGTGTGTAGAGTCTGTGAAAGGATACTTAGACAGCACCTTGTTCAGTTTTGGATAACAAATGATATCTTCACTCCAGAGCAGTTTGGGATGCTAAGGATGATATAGAGGAACTGCAAAGGGACCTTACCCAATTGCAGTCCTGGAGCACTGTCAACAAATGTGAGATAATGCATGTTTTGAAAAAGAATGATAATATGGAGCCTGAATACATTCTATGAGGAAACCAGCTGAAAGCTGTTCTGAAGTTAAGGATCTTGGAGTTCACATCACATCAAATCTACGGTGTATCATTGAGCCCACCAACCAACAAACGTGCAAACAAGGCAAACAGCATGCTCAGATTTATGAGTCGAATGGTAGGCCCCAGAAAGCCTAAATTGTAGTCGAAATTGTGTAAGAGTTTAGAATGTCCAATACTAAAGTATTGCTCTCCAGTGTGGCCTCCACACCTCAAAAAGGACTCTGTTATTTTAGACAAGGTCCAACGTAGGACATTTAGATATGCTCTCAGAAGCATTGGCTGAGAAATGTTTTATGAAGAGCAATGAAAGTTCCCCAAATGGGGGGCTGTCCTGGCGTACCGGTACACGGGGGAATTCCTATTGTTTTCATATCCATACATGGAGTTGTGACGCAGTTCGTTAATGTTTCGTTCCTTTGTGTACTGGTACACGAGGACACAACCCCAAATGGCCAACTCTACATCAGAGAAGATTATTTTCTTCCCCTACCAAGTGCTATAAGACAGTTAATGGTCTTAACAGGCCACTTCCATTTGAGTATTTATGTTTGCACATGACTTTGGACTGTTAAGAGCCAACCATTACCATACACTTAGACCTTTTCCTGCAAAGCTAAATAGTTTTAACAATTCTTTCTTTGTAAATATAGTCAATGAACGGAATAATTTACCTAATAATGTTACAGAGGCAGAAACTGAATATTTTCAAGAACAGACTCAGATGCCATTTAACTAATGTTTTAGGAAATTTTTGAACTGTCTTATTGTGAACATTATTCAGAAGTAAATTTGCATTTTCAATTATTTCAGGAGACAAACTTGAAAGGGATAATATCTTTTGTCTCCTTTTCACCTTTCATTTGAATTTGAATCATGAATTAACAACTGCGTCCCTATGTGGAGGTTGGGTGCCTGAAACATCCAAGAGCTTCCACTATTGGTAGCCAGCTCCTAGATGGAGACTTCTCCCATGGCTGGCAAATCCTGGCAACCCAGCCATGAGCCCCCACACAGGAAAGAGACACAGGCACCCATTGAAGAGCACAAGGAAATCCGATGCATGCAAATATGCACAAAAAAAAAACCTACTAGAGAATGTTGATGTTCTTTATTGTTAACTCCATCAAATTGCATTTAACTGCATTAAACAGTTATGTTATTTTATGTTATTTTATGTCATTGATTGCTTCAATTCCAGTATTGATTCTACTATATTTGCCTTACTTTACCTAAGTCTTTCGTGAAAAATGACATGTTACTGTTGCATGTTGGCTAAATTCAAACATGCCAGAGTTATCTTCCTAAAAGTGTCTTTTTATAATAATTGTGGAAATTATTGCATGCTCATTGGTCAAGAACTTTCATCACAAATATTATCAACAATAAAAATGACACAACATGTAACATAAATGCTCAGCAATCTTTTCCATGTCAGAGAAAATTTTGCTCTTGCAAATGATTGCAACTTTCTGAAAAGTGGATGGTGATGAATTTCTGCATTTTAGGATCAGTGTTCTTGAAGAAATTTTTGAAGAAAAACTTGTCACGATGGAAGAAAAAGTGGAAGAAAAGTCTTGAGTAAAAGAAAGCTGGTTTTTGGCTCATAGGCTTGAAGAAAGATGACCTCAAAGAAATTATTACCCATGCCAAAGCAAAGAGCACTAAAACTAAGTGGGTGATAATAACAATTCATGATAACAGAGTCTATAACCATCCACTTCTTATTGGTATTTCATTGTGGAAGTCATTCAGTAACACAAATTATCACAACAACAACAACTAAAACAAAAAGGCAACTGTTGATCATGTTCTGCAAGAGTGATTTTCCAAAAACTTTTGGTGCATAACCTATCAAAAATTTCAATGCTATTGTAACTTAGGTGAAACCATAAGGAGCAGCTGTTTGGTTTCACTGGTAATTTTTTAACATTGTTGACAACATTTCTATGATCAATAAGGTTTTTTTAACATGTTGACTTCCACTAATGATGTGGAAATGTCTACACAATCACAACCAGAGTTAAGTTAATTATGTACCTTTATGAACATCTACACAATGTACCACAACCAGGGTGAACTGAATTACTAACCTTTACAAACTTTTCTCCAAAGTCTTGTTTTAGGCGTTGATATATCTTTGTGTATTGATCCAAAGGGACAAGTCTTAATGATCCTCTACTAACTTGGCTACCCTGAGCTTCTCCTGCCCACTTGCAAAGTTTAGGAAGTAAGATATCCTTCAGCCAGTGAATTGTAGGACATAATATCCCATCCCTTCCATTTTCAGACAATGTTGCACTGTCCATCAGTAGTAGTGAAACTCTAATGCCAATTACAATACATTGAATTTTAGTGAATGACCTGTGGTTATGAATGATGATTACAAATAGTGGGTATCTCAGTTTAAACTCGTGGGCCTGCCTTTGCTAAAGCATAGAATTCTGGGAGCAGGAAATATCAAAGGAGTGCAGGATGCCTCATTGATTCTTGGAAGACTTCAATGAGCTTTCTCAGTTAAGGCTCTGAGCTAACCCTCAGTTACTCTGACACCATAGTTAGCTCTTAATTTCTCATTTCTCAACAATTTCCTTGTTCTGTTTTATTAGCAAACATTTACAAAAGTGGATGAAGGAATTTAACCTGACCTTGTACCCTGGACAGCCCCTTTTCTAACAATGGTTTCTGTTATGTTACTCAGAACAGAGTTCAGGAGAGAGAAGAGCATGCTTTGACACAAGAGAGCCTGTTGCAGCAGTGTCTGTACTTAAAAGCAGCTAGCTAGAGCACTTAACCCCTTTTTTTTCATCAGCTTTTTTCTCCTTTTTTTGGCTAAATTGAAAGTTGATACTTTTATAGATGATGCCTCTGAACTTGCATCTGTTAACCTTCTAGGAGAAGACAGAGTATAACTTGATTATGTTTATTTTCAGAAGAACGCTAAAGGGACCCTTTAACCACATGAGTTCTTATATGTCCCCCTGCTACTCAATTTGAAAGTTGATGATCTTAATTACTTTATTTTTAATATATCTTTGAGGCTGTATATTGATGATTGAAACGAATATACCTCTGATACCTCATAAATGATCCCACAGTATGGGCATGGTATCAACATAGTTTGGAATAAATCATTTATAGATTATTGAGGGAAAAATGTGAGCTGTCATGTCATTTATGCAAAGATACACTAATCATCCTGGGTGATACAGTGTAAGGTGTATGTGCTGGATTTTAAGGTGCACTCCATCAGCTTAAAGAAAAGCATACTCAAAGGCATTAGCCTTGGCAGTAATATTTATTTACAGACAGCAGTTCAGTGGATTTTCACATGCATTCCATATTTCTTTCACATACTTCTCACTCCAAAAAGGGTCTACAAGCCTTATTCTGGAAGTGTAGTCTTAAAAAAGCTGAAACCAAGTCAGAATATCCAGATTGTAATCATCACTTTAAGAAACATTAACCTGCACAGACTCTCAAAGGAAGGGCTCCATGGACAATGATATCATAAGCTATGAAAAATGATTTGTGTCACAATTCATCCATCCATCCATCCATATGACCTGTCAAATATTCAGTGGCACTTAAAATTGCATGATTTGTTCTTCGTGCTCTCTGTCAGTCATGATACAGTGCCCCAGTAAGAAGTATGCAAGAATCTAGATCAAAGGGTCAGGTTCAAGTCTCACTCAAGTCTTATGTTGTGTTCTTGGACAGGACACTTACTTCTACTGCAGTACTAGTGGGAAATCTGACCATGTGATAAGCTTTGGCAAGATGGGCCTTCAACTCATGCCTTTTCCACACCAAAATCTCACCAAAAATATTGAAAGAAAAGCTTAAAAGAAATGTTTAAATCATGAGCACTGGAATTCACAATCTTTCTATTCTAACAAGAGGTAAGCTTGACCTTTACTGGGAATTCCCTCTATAATGGCATCATTTTGTGCGTTGTGGTTACTGGCTTGATGCCAGTAGTGCACTGCAATGTATGTTATTATCCCATTAAGTCTGTTACTGAGTTAGTACATGTAAGGTTTCTCAAAGTGCAAATACCAACAACACACATGTATATCAAAATGGCCCGAGGTTTTGTCAAGTCTGCTCAAAGCCACTTCTATGATTAAAGGTCTATTTTTAGTGATTTATGTCTCTTTAAGTGAACACTTAGCAGGATTCATTTTGTAGCCAAAAACCAAAACCACACTATGCTTTGGAAAGTCAGTGGGTACATGAGTTTTTGGAGAGATCATACAAAGTGAGACTGAAAACATGTCAAGACTTACTTGAGTTATTTCAATCAATCTTCACCTTTAAGACACAAACTTTCATCTTATGTAAAATTCCCTTTAAGGTTTATACTAAGCATCATTGAACAAGAAAAAAGTCCAGTTCAGGCACAAACCCAGGACAATTGTAAACTGCTTCAATTTTATATGATCTGATGTGAAACACAAGTGGTGGGAACAATTGAAGTCCATTGGCTGATTGATTCAATCATTTATTGTATTTGACAATAAAAATGAATGGTAAAACGCAACATTTCGACCAAACTTCGGTAAATTCAAGTGAATAGTAGAAATGACATGATGAATATATCTATGCATATAAGAAGTGTAAAATTTTTTGGCAGAGTAAACAGACAATAAGAGCATACAAAGAGAAGAAATAATTAGAAGCTAATTAAAAACCAAATAAAAAATAAAACATGGAAAAGTAGAGTTAACAAGTTCTTCAGGTTATTTTAGTTGAGAAAACAATCATTTCAGTCAATCACATTCTTCCTGGAGAAGTAACACCGATTGAATGAAAGCCAAATTGCACAATCAACCATAGTATATAGCAACCTGTGTTTGTATCAGTTGTCTACATGGCTCTTGTAATGCAGCAGGAGGCCAGTATTTGTGGGTTTAACATACACCTAAGTCTCAACACTTATGTTTGTTGAGTGGCTAGGTGCCCAAAAAGAGAAGCATGCTATTGCGGCCACTTTCTGTCTCCATGGTAAACTTAATAGAGGAATAGCACTAGTTTAAAATCTTGAGGAAATTGACTGCTGATGTTGTGTCTGGCATGATAATTAGTGTGTCATCCACATATCTCTTGCAGTATGGGGGCATCTTGCCTTCATGCTTCAAAGTATCCTCAATGCTGCACATAAAAAAGTTGGCTAATAGAGGACCAAGTTCGTGAATGAGGTCCATGAATTGACAAATACAGTGGAGATATTTTGGTCTCCTATGATGTTTCTTCCCTGTTAATGAATGTACCCTTGGAGGAGACCATACAACTACTCACCAATAAGGCTTTCATTGATAATTGATTTGATGAAACACAACACCTTAACCCCAATGAGCTGATCCTTGTTGATCTTGTTAGAGTGGCAGCAAAAGACCAACTTTTCTTGCTTAACAGCCATTTTTATGGAAAAACAGACAGAGTTACTATGAGCTCCCCCCTTGGTCCTCTATTAGCCAACTTTTACATGCATATATGTATATTCATTGTGACATTCTTACTATTCACTTGAAAATGACCAAAGGTTGGTTGAAATGTCATGTTTTACCGTTCATTTTAAATTTATTTCAAATGTTTTATGAAATCATTTACTGTGTGTTTACATTCGTGGTTGGATCCAACAGTAACCAAACACAAAAAATTACCTCATATTGTTAATTTTAATCAGTAAAAAGAGAGAGAAAACTTTTAGTCACAATAATAATTCATTCATTTAGAGGCAAAAGGCTATAGGGAAAACCCTGTAAACAAAGATAATCATGTAACAATACAAAGATAATCATGTTACAATATAAATATTAGAAAGTGACTGTAAGCTGCAAGTTTTGATAAAAATTACTGAAATTGTTCCATCAAAAACCACATTTAAAGCTGAATAATTTCAAGCTTCCAAGCTTCCAAACACATTCCAACTCAAATCTGGGTTTTTACCAGATAAAAATCATAACCAGTAACCATAAACCCTTTCAGGCTGTTTAGAACACTTTTGTTTAGAAGTTAGAGCCTGATAATCAGTGCCTGCATAGAAAAAAAAGAAAGCCAGGAGTACCTTTTAGGAAGATAAACAATAACCGCAGGATAATTTAAGACTTGGAATTTTCCACAGGAAGCCCAAGTAAAAAGGAATTTCACAGTGTCACAGCAGCAAACTTGTATAGTTTTCTAAACACCTTTCCCCTGTAGGTTTATCGTTAATTGTGTACATGTAGGTGTTATCAAATACACATATACACTGTACCTGGCATGTTCTCCTTTGCAAGATGGCTGATGATAAACAAATGAGTATGACTTGGACATTTCCAAGAGGTCTTGGTAACTTTTGAAACCTCTCTCCATTGCCATCAGTGAAAGTGGACAAAAGGAAACTCGACTTTTGTTTTTTTCTGTGATGATAAAAAAGAATACCATCAGGCTTGGTTCAACCATCACACTTTCCTTTCATAATTCCTTGCAACTGAGGCTTGTGGGTAGGAAAACACCTTGTAGAGGTGTACAGTCAAGTATAGGAAGCCATTTAAATAATCAACATTGGTACACTGTCCTTAGCGAGTCACTGGCCATAGCTTTTGACAAGATACCTCCAACTTATCAAGAAAATAAGGATCTATTGAATACTAAAAGATTCCGGTCAAATACTATTTTACCCATTTAGGAATACTGCATAATTAAAATTGATATTAGAAAGCAAGATTGAAGAAAGTAGGCATTAACAGCAACACTTGACTTAACTTCATGAGAGTAAACAAACTTCCATTGTGTGATTTAAAAGAATCTATACAAAACAACAGAAGTGAAAAAAAAGATTGCAACTGATTCAGACTGCCCTGAACTAGTCTCCAATTGACACAGAAAATTAATTAAATTAAATTGCAACAGATGCAGAGCTAAAACTAAATGAGGGAAAAAAATAAATTTATATAACTGTAAGGGAAATGATGCTAACAGACTATTATTGTTTAGAAAGTCACAAGTAAAAACAATAAACTCTTATCTCGGAAATATCACAATAACCTTGTGCTGGGCAATAAGTTATTTGTTACTAAAAAGGTAACAAACAGACAAAACAGGACTTGGATGTTACTTGCTTGACTTTAAATGAACTTGTCGTTAGAAACTATGAAAAACTGGAGTTTTTATTTGTTATTGTTGGGAAGGTTACTACTAAACACAAATTTAAATAACTTTGTTTGGATGTTACCTGCAAGACTTATCATTAACTTGTTGAACATGATGATCAACATCTGTTTACTGGGGTTTTGACCATCACTGAATGTTTGGATGGGTGCAAATCTACTGGCAGGTTGGGAATGAACTGACTCAAACTGGGTATGAATTGTTGAAATTTGGGCAGTAATGTTTGGGTTCAAATTGACTGGGTATGAAACCTCCGAGGGTACAAAGCAACTGTGTATCAAACAAAGAACACTTCACTTTGTTATGAACCAAAATGCTCTTAGAGCCAATTTACTCAGACATAGTTTAATTCTGACCATCTGTGTGTTCAAAGACTTCATGATGTTTGAGTTATAAAGATTTCTCAACTTTATTGCCTATTTGTAGTGTGTAAATGTAACCTTCTAAATGATTGTTTCTTTGAGCAACATGACTGGGGATTTTGAAATAACTCTGGTTTCAGGCAATTTGACTTTAGGCAAGATGACTTTTGTGTGACTTGACTGGTTACTGCTTTTCGACACAGTTGTTCTAGACATTGCACTGTACCCCTCTAACGAAGGGCTAACGCTAAAAATGTCAGCTTTGGAAACTATTTATGGTGGCAAATTTACGATATCAACTCAGTTGATAAAACCGAATTATCTAGCTGTACCCTCTCCCTAAACATTGATGTTCCTTTAGAAATTATCCCTTTATCCATGCACATGTACTGTTGATTTGCCGTTATAATAGATGGATCAATTTTCTGCTATTTCCAACTTGGCTTATCAGTATCACATATGGTGTAAAAAAGACTCAACACAGCGCAATATTTCCTGGCATGAACACTTACTTTACCTACCTAAAATGACCAACTCGAACATGGCACCCATTAATTCAACATGAGCCTGTCTCGGTATCAACTTGCGAACGATGCAGGAAACTGATTCTTCACCGTCTAGACGCACTGCTGAATCCTTCGACAAACTTTGAGTTTCATGACAACCAGAAACTTCGTTATCGTCAGGGTCAAAACTATCATCACCCCCTTCACACTCCCATGTTTCACCTTCTAAATCAGTATCTTGAAATAAACACTTGATTTCAGCATCAGAAAGAGACAAAAATTCCCCAAGATCACTGCCAGTCAAACGTTTAACAAACATTTTCTTCACAATAAGTGCGCCCATCACACGACGATTTACAACATTTGGTCTTTCTATCCATACATTCACTGCATCTTGGAAACGACAAAAGTCAGCTTTTGTGACTGAAGAATGAACACTTCTCCATCCTTCCATAAAGAAACCTTCATCCACGTCCGCCATGTTGCACACACTTTTACCCAGACCTTTCGGGTATTGGCAGTTTCAAGTGACGTCACGATTTCTAAAGATGTAGTCGGCCGTGGAAGACGTGTAGACGTTTAGACATTCATATCAAGCACAGTGTGTATTTTTCGGCTTCCAGTCATAAAGCTGGTTATGCAGAGTAATTTACCTTTGGTTTTTGGTGGTAGTCAGTTGAGATGCTGAGTCATCTAATCAAGTTTGCGGTAGAGGGTGCTGCGGTGTTCGATTCTGTGATTCCCAGTTCCTTTTACTTGGACAGTGAAGATGACCCCAGCGAAAGCGAGGAAGTTTTGTTCTGTAAAAACAATGTTTGCGTCCATTCTTCCTCTTTAAGTGAATCTCATTCTCCAGGATACTTTACTTTGAAATCCATCACCCATCAAAGTGGACTTGTCCGCTTGTTGGTTGCATGGACACCCAATGCTTACTTTTTTGATGAACAACCGGAAACAACTGATCATCAGATAATGGATGTTCGAGAGACGGAGGAACCACAAATTTCCAATATTTCTAGAAGCACAGAGAAGTTCAGTGTAGATCTCAGCGAAATGAAAAGTGTCAGGTTATTTAATAAACAAGAAGATGACTCCTGTGGTGAATTGGTGATCGGGAACTACGAGAACCACTACAAGGTATTTCACTTTCATCATGGTGGACTTGATCGCATCACTCAGGTTTTGCAGCTTTGGGATTGGTGTGCAAGGGACATAAATCCTCTTGACGAGGATGATCTTCGAAAGAAAAGTTTTACCGTGGTTTCGAAAAGAAGTCTTATAGAAGGCTTCCATCCGGAAGAAGGAAGATTTGACCCGATGACCGTCCTAACATGGAAACAATTATTTGATGATCGTGGTCGAATTGAAGACGTGATGAATTTTCGTAAGGTAAGCTCCATTACTATTTAAATTTACACAGAAAGAAAACATGGGAGCAAATATGGGAGCACAATAAGCAGTGCACACTCCGTCAGCCGTTTGTAGGTTCTGTTAGAATGCGTTTGAACGCATTTTTGTGCGGCTTAATACACGAATCGTGTAACCCCGCAGTGCCGTGGAATGCCCCGATAGATATCCGGATTTCTGTCGAGAATTCGTTCCGAGGGCCCCTTGTTTTCCTCTCGTTACTTTGTGGCAAAGTTTTACAATTACTTTTGCCGAAATATTAGTTTCATCTTAGTGACTAGGAGTTACCAAAGATTATTTGGGAGCGTTCGATTCGTTAAAGTACAGCTAATTTCCTTCAACTTCGTTGTTCTTCTTGACCGAATCTGACGAATTTTTACCCCTGCGTCAATGCATGTTTGGGGCTCATGTTTGCACCTCTACTGATATAATGTAAAGATGAAGCCCATTGTGAAATATTTTCCTGCGGTATTTCCTTGTTTTATTGCTTGCAAGTAGAGCTCTTCGTTATTATACCTGCACTTGATCAGACTGCAGTCCAGGTTATGTTGCGTGACAGCTTCAGATAACAAACGTGGAGTGGTACTAAACTGTGGAATCTCTGTACCCAGCAGAACATGTAGAACCTGCAGAACCATTAGTTTTTTGTAAAAGAAATAATAATGAAATAAGATAAAAGCTAAAAATATCTTAACACTATTTGAATGCAAAGATGGGAAACTAGGAAATCACTGAATGACGTTGCAACAGTACCCATTATGAACGAATTACAGTCATTTCACCCCCAGTCACTTTGCTCTAACCAAACGTCAGTTCACTCCATAATGGAAGTCACTTTGCTCCATACAATAGTTATTTCACTCCAGTGCACATAGTCATTGTGCAAGGGAAGTAGATGTGACAAGAAAAGAACAATACAGTCTTAATTAATAAAGTTGAACTGGAAAACTGAAAGCAGTTTAAGGCATCATGTTGCAAGTTCACTAATCTAAGAGTAATAAAAAATCTTTTAAGGACCTTTTTGAGACATAAATAGTTGAGGTTAAGGTCTGATTCTGAATTTTCAAATAAATGAGTCTTTGAAAGACTTAGTCAGTGCATTGTGCCAAAAAAAAAATCTCATCTTGAATTAACATAAGTTCACACATTACGTGTTGGAATACATGGCAATAAACTGACAACAATACAATCTTTATTAACAGAAGTCTTGTGCAACTGCATAAGCATTAAATCAAACAAAGATATTAAGACTCAATAGCTCCTTAACTATGTCAAGATCAAATATAACTGGAGAAGTTTTACAGGTGGTTGAAACTTTATAGGGTAGAAGCTGTAGATGGTTTACAAAGTTTTTTTAAATGCAATTGGCCGTCAATCAATCAAGAGACTTTGTTTGACTTTGTTGCTATGTAAGTGCTACAAGTGCTACAACACACGTAATCAAAAAAAGATATTTAGACTCAATTGCTCTTTAACTACACCCAGATCTCAGTCACTTTTTAAGTCCTTGGATGAATTACCCCTTGAACTACGCACATGTTTAAAAAAGAGTTTTTTACATATAGTTCATACTCTACAGGGTTACAGGTATTGAAATTCAATTGACCATTGATCAATGATGGCATGGTGTGGGGGACAGAGAGAGATAAGAGTGAGTGAAACAAGCAATTACAAACGTCATCAAGATCATATAACATCAGTTAGGCAAATGCAATCTTGTATGCATATATACACTTGACTTGTAACATGGAGCAAAGTAACTTTTTTATGGAGTGAAGTGACTTCAATTATAGAGTGAACTGACTTTTGGTTGAAATGAACTGACTGGGGTTGAAATGACCATGGGGTGAAGTGACCAGATACCTTATGAACCCTGGTTAATTTTAGTAACAGCTACTTTATGCATACTGACAGGTGACACATATGAAACCATTGGCTGCCTATTTTTGTGTTATGCAAAAACACACTTTTGTTGGCACCCTGAAATGTTAGGAGAAAATTTTCTGATAAATCTTAATTGATGGATACACCAACAATCATAACACAATTGAGTTTGCTGTATGTCCGCAGCGTCCTTACATATCTTCAAGAAATTTATTAATTCTAGATGCAAATATAGATATTTGTAATAATCCCAGAAAAGCTGTTCAGGTTCTAGTTAAAAAATTATATTGGATTCTTTAGTATTTGAACACGGCAATAGTTAATATTAAAAGTATAACAACAAATCAATAAATGATCTATACAGGTCGTAGGCTACACATGTATGCATCACAGAACCATTTTTGGGTTGTTTGCCCGAGGGCTGAAAAGGAAGAAGAATCTCTCTGCTCTCTTTGAGCTACCCCATTGTAGACATACTACATTAGCCCATTTATAACTTAAAAGGTGGAATTACCAAAAGCTGAATTTGGCTCAGACTATTTGATAGTGTTTAAAGATGGGGTACATACAACATTTCAGACAGAAATACAATAAAAGGTTCTGATATGGGTCATTTTCTCAACTGTTGGGTGTTACCAGAAGAATCAGTTGCCTAGGGCTCAGCTATTATTGTGAAATAATCCATTTGACACTTTCTTTTGGTGAATAATTGGTAAATATTGTGTTATTTTTACATATAATAGGCAGCATTTTTTGGTGGACTGAGTCCTGAGGTTAGAAGAGAAGCCTGGAAATTCCTCCTACATTACCTTCCTTTTGGTTCATCAAGCCAACAAAGAGAAGAAATACGGAATGACAAGAAAAGAGAATACTTGAATATTCAAGGCACTAGGTAGGAATATATTTAAAAAGATATTAAGAATTTATCTCAAACTAATGTTTCCTCGCAGGAAAACATATGGTAGTATTGTATGCTATACCACTAGTGCACATTGTAATATAATTAACACTGTAACATTATTGAGCAAAAATGAAAGACAGTAATTTATCTTGTTCCTCCTTAACTTTTGTTGCCAAGAAATATACCAATTTATCCCAGCTCTGTCATCTCACTTCTATGGCCTCTGCTTGGCCAAAAATTTCAAGGTGACATTGTAGCATTGAAATAGATCACTCAGTAAGTCCAAACATTCACCTTTGAGACAGCCTACTACTGGCACTGCAAAGCTTTAACTTTTGTTACTTAATTTTTGCTCAATAATGAAAAAAATTAAAAATTGAGGTGTGTGGCTCAACACTTATGGATATGATAAACCTTAAAGGGCTATTTTTTTAAAAAAAAATTATATTTCTTCATGTCAAACTAAGCGTAATTATTTTGAATATAGTTTCCAAGAAAAATTTTGATAAAATATTGAAATACTCACAGTCGTTTACAAAAAGGTATTTTTAAACTGAATCCTTTTGCCCACCAAAGTGTGAATAGTCAATTGCAACATGTCAATGTAAATGACACTCAGTGGGTTTCTTGAGGCAAAACATCCTGGTTGTTTAATCTCAGTTGTGTAAACATCCCCTCCCTTTTTTTGCACATGGAGATCTTTGCTGTCTGTTTGCATTTAAAACTAGAATATGAGTGGAGAAAGATAAAAAGGAGAAGAGTCAATAGGTGAAAGTAAAAGAGATGCCTGACTGTTAGCACAAGAAGTAAAGAAATTTGATGCGGGATGGCAAGATAATCTCACCAAAATGGCAGTAGAATGGGGTTCTTTGGGTTCACAGGCAGAAGTGCATAGTTCAGTCTCCCCTTGCACCTGAGAACACCTTCATCTAAGAACAATCCAAACTGAGTAACATACATTGGAGGGGTAGCAGTGATCTTTATGCAGAAGAAATGCAATTTCCTTGAAGGAGGATGACCCTTGGACTGATCGGATCTAACAGTGTTCAGCTTCCCTTTAATTCTGCTGCACTTAATCTCACTCTTTCCATCTTAGCAATTTTTACCTTGGCAACTTTATTCCAATTCAAGAGCATTTACACAAAGGAATTTTGTTAGGAGGTGAAATCTGTTGATATCAATGATCTGGTCAATCCTTTTCTCTGAAGAACTGGCTGAAGTATCCACAAAGGAGTGAACAGTAGCTGGTGGTTTGTCAACAACTTCTTTGAGTGTGGCTTCATCTTCACAATGGGTCATTCCATTCTTGGGCCATGTGGTATCCAGAAGGTACAGAACAGGAATTGCAGGCCATTCCACCATTTTTGCTTCACATGAGGGCAAATCAGCATGATTTTGATGACCTGGACAGTGTTGCCATGCTTGTGTAGAAGTTTAAAGTAGTGAATCTCATTATCTCTGTGTTGCATTTACTGTTCCCAAACCCGTTGATTTTCATCCAGCATGATGTTGTCATCGAGTCATTCCAATAAAAGGTTTTGTGAATTTCTTCAACTGATGCCTTGAATTTGTCCAGTTGATCTTGCCAATGCAAAGTTCTTAAAATAGAATCAAGGGTTCATCATTTCTGCTCCAGAAAGCAAATGGTCAACTTAATATGATCTTGAGCAGCACTGCCATTTCCGGTTTTGGTTTGTACAAACATAAATGATAAGCAATTGTTGCTTGGAGTATCAATATTAGCTGTACTGCTTGATTCTTTATCATAAACCCTTTCAGTGATTCTGGTCTGCTCTTGTTCGAACAATTTTGTCATAGTTCCTTAGTAAATCTGGCTCCTCTTTCAACTTGAAATGCAATGATGACAGTCAGTTTTTCTCAGTTGGTAACTATTCCATGGTTATTCAACCTCTTAGTTGCAACTAAGTGGATTTCTGGCCTTTGTTTATCAGGATGTATTGATTGATCCTCTGGAATTATTCTGACACTCTCTGACTCCCAGAATTTCTTCAAGCTCCCAACCAATTTGTCATCTTGCTCCCCAAACATTGAATGGCATTCACCAGAAATAATCAGGTTGGAGGAAACAGCACTGTTAGATGATTGATCATACATTGGTCTGGACAACTACCATCCAAATTTGCTGTAAACTGCAGTCAAACCCTGATCATGTAAGGTGTAATCTCCCATCACAAAGTCCCAGTGGCCGTCGGAGCCCATTGAAATGTTAATAGAATCCAAATTCAGGCCTTCTGAATGGACATAGTCACCTACATTGCCCTTGCTTGGTTAGGGAGAACAGATTGCTGTGAAGTTCACTACATACAGTTCCAATTTTTCATGATTTCCTGTTGTAAATACAGTTTTATGACATTGCATTCCTGTTTCTTGTTCCCAAAGGTGTTACTGCACAGTTTTTCTGAATTGAGAGGCTTTAAATTAAGACAAGGTTACACTTGATGAGACATACAATTGTTGACTTCCATTGTTGAAAAGCACACATGCAGGAATTGAATTGGGTCATTTACAACTTGTTGTTTGAAGAAGCACAGTTCCCCTTGGCATAGACTTTGCAGGCATTCCTGTTGAGTGGTGGTTTCCATTCTTGTGCTTATGGATTGAGGATGTTTTCCATCCCAGTGTTGGTATCTCTTTGTTTAGGAGCAATTCTTTGCATCATGGCCAGTTTTGAGGTAAATAAAACATTTATTATCCCTCTGAAGAATGCTTCTTCAATTGTGGGATTGTCAAAGCTCCATACAGGAGGCTGGGTAATGCTTCCCATTGCAATAAACACATCAAAATTAGAATTCTTTGCTTTCCATTGTAAATAGTGTGTTGCCTGTACGAATCGATCATGAGGAATTCAAACCAGGGTTTGGCAGTTTTCATTCTTAGACTTGTTATGTTTGACAGCCTTACTTTCTTTGTGCACTTCATTTTCTCCTTTGATTGAGTCCAACAGCTCATCCATTTTCCATATCTCATCTCTTGATTCCAGTTGTATTTTGTTTATGACATGATTGGAATAAACAATTTGCCATACTCCTGCAAGAGAAAATAGTCCTCACACATGTGTGCTTAATTTATCCTAGAGCAATCATAGAGACGATGGACAATCAGTTAACGAGGGCTGCAATTTTAGGATTTCTTCCATGTGTGCAGAGATGATCTTTTGATTCTTGCCAAAACATTGCTTGAGTATTTCCACCTGAGAATCATAGTTGTTACTTGATAAAGCAGGTTCTTGAATGGCTCAGTTGGTGGCACCTTCTTAAAGCAATCTCAAATTGTCAAATCTTGTATGAGTCTTAAAAACCCATTCAGGTTGTTATGTCACCATGAAATTTTGGGAGCACCAGTTTCGGTAATATTGTCTGGACTTGAATCGTAGGAAGGGCTGGTGGCATGCCTCTTGGCAGGGCTTGAATTGATCCAGGGAGTGGGTTACTTTCCTGCATTTCCTGAACAGGTCAAATCCCAATACTTTCCAGGGTAATCTTGGGGTCATTGCATCCTACATCATGTGGATGTAATGACTCTCTTTACTGGAAATTGCTGAAGGCATTACATATTGAACACGATTTAACTTTGATCTAAGCTGTCACTGAGGCTTTTGCTTTCTCCCATGTGGGCTCCATGAATTTCATTTAACACTTCTGCCCTTAAAGGTCTTGGCACAAGAACTTTGTCAGCTGTGAAAAGCAGTCTATCCTCGACACTTAGCTCTTCTTTAAGACTTCAGTACTCTCTGGCAAGCTCATCAACCTGGTCTCTCTCAGAGAGCCATCCTTTCAAGACATACTCTATCACAACTCTTGAAGACTCATCCATACTTGGAATCTCCTTAACTTTCTTCAGCGTGCTGTTTTCAAATCAAAGTTCTTCAACACGATTCACTCCAGTCACATCTTTAGGGCCACCAACTGGTTCAGCATCACTGAGAGGTGCTCTGTGTAGACAATCTGAGATGACCTGTTGTTTTCCAGGAGTAAACTGAACATCAAGATCATACTTAGTAAGTTTCAATAGCATCCTTTATAGTCTGGGAGGAGCATCAGTCAGCGACTTCTGGAAGATTGATTCCAATGGTTTATGATCAGTTTCCACAATTACTTTGCACCTATACACATATGTGTGAAATTTCTGTGCTCCCCACACAATTGTGAGCAGTCTCACTCAATATTTGCATATCTTCTCTCCCAGGTGGTTAGTGTCTTAGATCCAAATGCAACTGGTTTACCTTCCTGTATGATCATTGCACCAAGTCCTGTGCCACTTGCATCTACATTCATCACTGTTTCCCTGTTGTTGTCAAAGTAAGCTAGGGCAGGTACGCTGGTGATGATGGACTTTAGATTGTCAAAGGCATCTTGTTGGGGTTTCTCCCAAACAAATGCTGCATATTTTTGGGTAAGAGTAGCCATTTAGTTATGGTGTTGTAAGTAAGTCCACAACCTCTTTGACAAGTCTGCTGGCTAATGTAGAAGGCTTTCACATGTTATGTTTCTTTATGGGGCTCAACTAATTGCAGAAAATTGGTGAAAAATTTCACAGTCGGTCAAGAGACAGTGCTTATTTTACCGGCAGCTGAGATCAATAACATACCGTCTTACATTTCAGCATTTATAAGCCTTCTCTGTAAACCTTTTCTAAACCCAAATTTGATTATTTTTACCTTTTTATTATTTACCTCCGATTAACTAAGGTAAATAATATTTTCAAGAACTAATTAACTTTCTAACTTTAGTTTGATTGAAGATTTGAGGCTGACTGAAAGTAGTGTCTAGACTCTACTGCAACTTCATAATGTTTTTCAGACTAGTATTGTCGTAAGAACTTTTACCCATTGTGCATTCAATAACCATAAAATATAAACAACTCTATATTAGGAATTAAATGATGATTGACTGGTGTCCTGCTCTAATAAACCCCAGCTCTCCGACATACATAATTGCTTGTAGGTAATAAGCTTCTGGCCAAGATGGTCATCTTTTTTGTCAGATTGTACATTTCCAGGTGATACACCCTGGATAGTACACAGAAGATCATAACCACAGTATTGTGACCATGAAATATGATGCCATATGACTGCCACTTTCATTAAGAGGCTCTGTGGTGATTACATTGTGAGAAACTGGCACCAAAGAAAGTTACTAATAAGCAACATTTTGGTGTGATCTAAGAAGATAGAACTAAATTACTGATCTGAATTAATCATTATAGTAGTATGGTATGTTCTCTTAAAACATAATCAAATGTAAAAATCAAAATTAAAAATTCTCAGTTAGTCCTAAGGTAGATGGTTAGATAGTTTATTGAAATATCATATTGCAGCCAAAAGCTGAATTACTCTATATTTTACAATAAATACAGAAAATGAATAAAATTACTATAGTGCAAGTTATGTTCAAAGGGAGTTGACAAAACTACTACCGGTAAGCTTAGAATCAATAGAATTATGTACCCATATTTACTCTAGGCTGTTGTTTGCTAATCTACACATTGCAGGGATGAACAAGTGCTGGAAATGGTTGGCGCACACCTGGGGAAGGTCATACCCTCTTTTTTTCTTAAGATTGTAGGGATTCTCATGTTTAGGAGGAAGTAAGAATGAAAGTTTGTGATCAACTGAGGAAATTATTACATTATACAACTTGGTGCACTGTTCATTGCAAATTTAGGTGAATAGTTGAAGCTTTGATGTGTAACCTTGCATACTCTCCACCAGGGACCAGTTGATTTTACAAAGGTAGCGACCAAGTTCAATTTTTCTGCTTGGGTGTGTATAGTGGCACACAGATTGCTAAGTCTTTGGTTTGTGCAGTCAGAGTTGGGGATGGATCTCATTGGTGGCATGGTCTGAGAGGCCGAAGGTAGGGTGTTTGATGGGGGTCTTGTAGAAGTCCTTCATTTTGGTGAAGATGGGGTCATGTTGGTGATGATCAATTACTACCCATTCAAAATTTGACAATCTGCTTGAGTTGGAAGGCATTACAAAAGCAAGACATGTCAAGCCTTTTTAATTGTGAGCTATTAGAATCCTGCAGTTTGGGAAGGAGATTCAATGGCCAACATGGAGTTGAAGAAGTAGTTCAGCATGTCTGAGTCTTTTGCGCCTTTGTTGGTCTGTGGATGGTAAACATTGGCAATAATAATGCAAGACAATCCCTTGGGGAGTTGCAGGGGACATAGCTTCAGCCAAATTACTTCAAACTTTTTGTCAATAATATCAGCCAGTACTTGAAAACTGATGGAGTTTTTGATGTATATGCATATGCCCCCATGAGTGTCATAATGCCTATCAAGGTGGACAAAGTTGTAACCCGAAATAGAGACAATATTGTCTTGAATATGACTTTGCAGCCAAGTTTCGGTAATAAGTGCTAGGTCTAAATTAGCTTAATGATAGATTCCTTTACTTTGTCAATCTTTGGACAACAACATAGATGGAAAAAAAATTTGAGGTCTGACTGATACATTTTACATTGTAGGTGAGATCCTTACACAGTTGGATGGGTTGTGGGTATGATGTGATTTTTGGTAATTGCAGTGTTCTAGCTGTTGTTCATCTGAGGTGATAAATTGAATATTTTACTGCTCTGCTCTGTTCAAGATGTTCTGTGGAGGTGGTTGTTTCCTCTTGTAATTGGTAGGAGTGACTTTCTTGGAAGATTTCATGTGGCTACTTCTTATCTGTTGTCCACTGCATTGCCCTCTTCTTTGAGATAGCAGGTTCATCAAGGCGAGTTTCTCCCACGCATACCTTGGTGGAAGCCATTGTGATGAACCATGACTGTCCTTTGAAACCCTGTTCAAGAACTTAATAGATTTACGCAGGGATAACAGAGTAATTCTTGAATAAACTAGTGTAGTTGGAAAATCTTCCTCTGAAAACAGCTTTCATGAAGCAAAAGCCTTTAAATTTGATGTTCTCTTTATTCTTGCTAAATCTATGCTTAATTTACCGTAAGAATGGAAGAAAGTATTTGGGACTTGAGCTTAGAGTTCACTTTTTCCATGATATGGGATCCACTTGATACAGGGTCCAATATATTTTATTCATTGGAAGTCTGAAACTTTTTAACTTTTTCAAAAGATTGCAGCCACCTAACCACACAGCTTTAGTTGAAATTTTGCATGAAGGCTGATTTAAGGGTCGTAATTACGAAATGGGTATTTAGAAGTTCCAGTTGCTTTTGCTTGTTAAAAAATTGATAAAACTGGCCTAGTCTGCCCATACTTACCCACCAACATGGTATATCAAAGGTGTTCTTAGTACCTCAACTTGCATCCTCTCATAGAGATTTCTTAACATCTCTTAAAATAAATGTAGAGATCTACCTTTTTCTTTAAATTTATTAGAAAAATGAGGTAAAGGACAAATATGATGTAAAGTTATCTGAATGTTTGAGGGTCTTTTTGTGCCACCTTGAACAGTGTAAATTTACCCCAACTTTAAGCCTGATATCTCCAATTTTACCTCCATTCAGAAGTTGCCATTTACTTTGTACAATGTTTGTTTATGGATGAATTGATGCCATTAATACAAAAACGGGAGAAATTTATAGGTCAAACAAGAAAAGTTGTCAATCCATAGTGACTGAGCAGTATTTGGGACCAGCATTGGGAAACTTCCTGAACAAAAATCTACTTAAACTATGTTCTTCTGATTAGTAAATTTATTTAGAAGCTCTTAGGACCAGGCCCCAAACATAGCTTGGTCCTTATTGGTTGATACATTTTTTTCCTTGACAGTTTTCTTTTCCTTCATTTTTTTATTTATGAACTCTGTTCATCTATGAACAAATGTTGTTTGTGGTGAATGGTATCTTCTTAATCAAGGTAACACTGAAGTTATTAGTTAACTAATTTTGGTAAATTTTTCTTTGTAAAAGGTGGCCTGAGGCAACCTTAGAATTTTGGGATCATATTTTGTTCAAACCAGATATTTTCCATATTTGTTTCAATAAATGCTAAGAGGAAGAAAGGATCATTTTATGAGAATCATGAGATTTTATGAAATCTTTACAATGGGACTGGAGGTGAAGTCAAAATATCACCTTGGATCCACCATATTGGCAGGCAAGTATGGCAGACCAAGTGAGCTTTCCCATTTTTTTTCGCAAAGAAAAAATAACTGGAACTTTGTAATATTTATTTTGTGATTAGGACCCTAAAACAAGATTTCAATTTCAGTGAAATCTGTGGAATGAAGTGGCTGACAAAAGTTTGACAGTTACAGACTATATTACTTAAATAAGAAAGTGGCTATGATTCTTTTCATTATAGAATTGAGAAGAACCAAGACGAAAAACACAAATTCTGGAAGACTGTTGAATGCATTGTTGACAAAGATGTCATCCGCACAGATAGATCCCATCCATACTTTGCTGGCAATGATAATCCAAATGTTACCATTATGAGGTATTAAAAATATCTGTCCAAATAACACAGATGTAATACATTAGTTTGGGGACAGGATGGCATGCTAAAGTTAATAAATAGATAGAATGATGATTATCATAGACTACCAGTCAGTTGCATGTGTCCAAAAACTTTGGTGAAAATATTTGATGTTTGGGCACCTTGTTGCACTCTTGAAGTTACACGCATGAAAACTAGCCTGCTTATGGTGCACCTCTTATCCCTTTACAAATGAAGAGTTGGTGCGGCTACCTTAAAGACGCCATAGAGCTTGAAATGTCTTTTTTTGTTTTTCCTTTATGCAATATTTATTGAGCTTTGTCCTTGATAATGATGCCTAACAAAATCCATCAAACAGCTGGTTAGTTTTGGTGTCTCATTGGAAAGCTTGACATTTGTGAAGCATAAGAGCTCAGTATTTTCACTAGCTAGTGATGAACATGTATTATTTTCAATTTCAAATCCTTTTTCAAATAGCTATCTGCATGCAGTTTTACCAAATTTTAGTATGTTGACTAAGCAGAAGCGCTATGCTCAATACATTGTACATGTAATGGAAAATCACCATTAACTGAGATTGGTTCAATTGAGTCTATTTTCATGTCATTTATTTCTACTACAGGAACATACTCTTAAATTATGCAACACATAATCCTCAGGTTGGATACAATCAAGGTATGTCAGACCTACTAGCAACTGTTCTGGCAGTGGTTCAAGATGAGGTTGATGCATTCTGGTGCTTTGTTGGTTTGATGGAGAGGAGTGTGTTTGTGACATCACCCAAAGATGATATTATGGACAGCCAACTGGTAAGTGGAATAACTTAAAATTAACTTCAAATTTGTCCATTGAGAAAAATTGGCATACCAATCATTTTTAATTCTGTGCAATTTTTTGACAGAATTTAGATTAGTTAAGGTAATGTGTTGGATTGCCTTCGTAGGCTGAGCTTTAAGACTCTGACAAACTGAACCAGTGGCATATTGATACAATGTGTTACTTCCAAACTCTAAAGTTTCTGGTAAACAGATAAAATTGGAGACAATTTGGATGTAGGTGGGAGTATATATAATGCATAAGATGTCATTGAATGTATAAATTAGTGAGAGCTGAAATGTTTCAGATTAAAATGTAATGGATTATTTCCTATTTGAAAGTGTATTTCACCTATTTGCTCAGGAAACCCCTTTTTTAACTGGGGCCTTGAGCAGCCTTTCAAGTCATCTAAGAAAGGTTGAAGGCTCTGTAGTGACAAAAACCTTTAATACTGAGCTTGCTCACTTTTGTTAGAACCTGATGTAAAAGCCTTTTTGCTCTGGATTTCAAATTCTTGGAATTGTTCTACCTGCTTATAATCAGCCATAAAACAACATAGCATCATTTGCACTATAGAACTGGGATTTTTGCAAGAAATTGAAATGAATGTCTTTTACTATATATCTTACCTACTTACATGTTCCTCTTATTACATCACTACATACTCTAATGAAATAAGTAAACCTTGATGAGAGTCTATCACATCAAGACTCACAAAATGTGTTTGTACAAAACACAAACACACTACTGGTATAAATGTTCAAACTCTCTGTGTGCCATTGGGTATCCCACGAATACTCCTTTAAACTTCAGTCTCAAGGCTCAGAAATATATGTGTATTCCCATCTTCAGAGAAATTTTTTCCTATACCAAGCTTTTGCACAGTTTCTGTTAGATGTGTGATACAGCTGAACACAATCTATATAATTCTGTTTGCCATAAATGAAAATTGATACTATGTAGTATGTATTTTAAAAAGTTCATTTTTGAAACAAAAAGCAGTATAGGTCTCTAATGTTAGCTCAAACAAATCAGTTGTAAAGGAGGCCCCCCAGTTTGTTAATTTTTTTAACACTTTAGAGTGAGATCAAAGTGAGGTCAGAGGAAAGGGGGGGAAAGAACACATGTTGGGGATACACAAATCACAGTAGTATTTATCTAAAAGTATTATTACTAATATTTTCAAATTTTTGTGGGCATTTGCACTGTATTTGGACTGTCTCTGCACTTTTTCCTTGTTTCATCTTCTGATACCTTCAGGAAAATAGTGCTGGAGAGGATAGTGAGTAAAGTATCCAAACAAGTCAGAATAGCAAGAAAAGCAATGGAAATTACTGGAAGTTAGAGGCATACATACTTCTAATAGAAGCAAAAATTGCCTATTCTGGATTAGGGGAGCACATTAATATGTCAATGATAATGATAAATACATTTAGTCCTGCATTTCATTGGCCAGAGGTGTAGAGGACCTTGGTAAGACTAACCAATCTGCAGGAAGTAGATTTCACTTGGCTCTTAAATAATGCTTACAACTTACATGGAAAACAAATAAGGGAACAGTACCCAAAGGAAGTCCTTTTGGCACCAAGAAAACAAATCAGCTTCAGATTCAACTGTGTCTTCAACCTCTCCTTTTGAACTTGAAATTGTATATTGGGATTATGAAAGATGTGCTTTCTGCAGTAGACAAAATGCTTTAACCAAAAACTCAGGTACATGTAGTTTATATTGCATTCATTGAATTATGAAGGAAATCAAGCTTCTTTCACCTGGCTATGAGTCATAAGGCTGAGATGACAATCCTCATTTTGGAGTACTAAGCTGAAGCCATCATAGTGTCATAGGCATTTTGATGAATGTGTATTAAATTGAAATGTTTCCCAAATTTTTTGATTTTCTTCTACAGCTGTTAAAAAACGTTCTTACAGTACAAACAATGTTTTTGTTAGAGAAAACTTGTTTTCCCTATTTTTAAGGCTGAAAAAAACTTAGTATTTTTCTCAACTTTTTGAATCCTTGAATCCCATTTTAGGAATTCCCCCTAATTTTTTCTACACTGTGGAAGATTTCCTTTGTTTTGCAGTGCATCAAATTGGCTGATTATACATATGGTGGAGTGAGTGTTTTCTCCTTGTCTGCAGATGTCAAACAGGTTTTGAAGCATGAATTCAAAACTAGATGAACTGGGCTTCTCTTTGATAGATTACAATATGCAAGGGTGTTTGCACACTTGATAACCAGGTCTTTCCTTAAAGAGCAAAATATTGCTCAGAATATGAATTTGAATCTGCACTGATAAATTGCTGCCATCAGGGTTACAGAATGTTTCATCCATCCATCCTTGCATGCTAGCTAGACAAAAATAATTCTAAACCATTTTTTAAGGAAACCCTCCATGGACAACTAAAGCCAGCAGCAAAATTTAGACAATGTTTAACATCAGAATAATGTCTGTAGTGCTTCATTTTTTTAACAATGTTACCATGCCTGCAATTGTAAGTTTTAAGTATTCCTTTTAATGAATATGAACTCCAAATGTGTTGTGTATGACTAATCCACATTATTTGTAAAGTAAGCAAGCAAAATCATGCTGGATTTGCAGACAAATTTCTTGTTTATTAATCTCAGTTTAGGAAATAATAATAATCTCACTTTTTTTCATTCCTTTATTCTTTCAGTTCAAATATTTGTAGAATGTTGAGAGTTTCTAGTCAAGAGCTACTGAAAGTCAAATTTGGTCAGGATAGCTTGAGGAATTCCTCTTGCAATGTCATCATTTTTGTTAAATTAATGCACAGTCGTAAAAAAGCAAGTTCATAAAAATTTTTTACACTTTCCATAAGGAAAACATCCAGAGTTTTCGCTGAATGTAACTGAAAATTTGCAACTAGGTGCTGTTTAAGCATGTTTATATTGTCAATTCGATCATGTAATTTATGCAGAAGACTTAAGTATATTCCAGTTTCATAAAATGTTGTGACTTTATGAAAGACACCTCTCTGGATTGTTTAAGTGTTCCTGGAAGGAACGATAAATATCCATCAAGAGACTGGTGGTGACTTTAAGTAATGGGTTGTAATGATCTATACTCACCTTTGAAACATTAGTCGATGTCTACCATCTCTGAGCTAAAAATATCAGAGCAAATTGTTTACATTATCTTTGAGATGGTAATATTTTTGAAAAGTATACCAAATTCTAGCCCCAGTATTCTTATTTTAACCCCTTCTCCCTCTTTACGATGTTGAACTTTGTTTCCTGTAATTTTTTTAACATTGAATTGGGGAAGGGGGCATTCTAACTTACTTCAATTTCTTTTGAAATGTCTTAACTAGTAAGGTAAAGGTAAAGTCTGTATTTGGGCTCATTGGCCCCCCAGCTGGAGCTTATTCATGTAGCTTGAAGCAACGAGGCGTATTGCTACTCCCCTCTGGATGGGATCCCAGTCCATCGCAAGCTTACCCCCGGCATTTCATCGGGCTTCCCTGAAAATTCGTTGGCACCCATCTATATTCCAGGGTGGAGAGAAGCACTGCGAGAGTTACGCGTGAAGTTTTTTTTACATCGCTTGACGCATGTGACATATGAACCTAGTTGCCCAGCTCAATGGTAGAGCACGAAAATCCGAAGGTCAGATTTAAAATCCTCACGCGGACTTGTGACGAGACGACAATAAACGTTTCTCCTTAAGGTTCCGTTAATTAGAATGAGGATGGTATTACCAGAGGGATTTCTTAATAGATCTAGCCCAAATTTGATTTTCAGTTGCAGTGGACGCCCTCAACTTGCTTTGAGATATTTCAGGAAGAGGAGGTTTGCAAAATTAGTTATGGATTTTTATTGGCTGATCTTAAGTGAAAAAAACTAGACTTAGACCCCATCCTTAGTGATTATTAATGGTAATAGTTCTCTCTCATCCCTTTAGTGTTACTTGCGGGAGCTGTTACGTCTCCTAGTTCCTCGATTTTATGCGCACTGTATACTAAAAGACGATGCCATGGACATGTTGTTTTGTCACCGCTGGCTTCTTCTCTCCTTTAAACGAGAATTCTTCAATGAAGAAGTTTTGAAAATGTGGGAAGCTTGTTGGTCTCATTATCAAACCAAGTATTTCCATATTTTCTTGTGTGTCGCCATGCTTCAGGAATATGGAGGCCCTGTTGTTGACAAGAATTTGTCGGCAGATGATATGTTGCAATTTTTTACGGATCTCTCCATGAAGATGGATGGAACAAGGGTCTTGCGCATGGCACGTCAGTCTTTATTAAAATTTCGTCAGTTGCCTGGAATTCCTTGCTCGTTGCGTAGGCTGTTGTCAGGTCCAGGAATTTGGGACAGTGCTCCTTTGCCAAAGATTCAGTGTGACTGTCTGAATAGTTGTGTATATTTACACGATGAATCAAAGTTGTGTAACTGAGGGAGTTGCCTCTAAAAGAATGCAATGTGTGAAATGAAAGGTCAAGTCCCAGTGGATTTGCTGGGTAGACTATTGTAGCCGATAGTTCACTGGTTTTCATAAACACAGCCTTGACATTATGTGAGAAACAATATGTATGTAAAATTGTATCTATAAAAATGTTTTTGTTTTTTTGTTTTGTCAGCAATTTTTTTTATGTCTGGATACAGGTAAGTGTTTTGAAGGAGAAGAGGAAAGAAAGGTTTTACTCAAGTTTCAAATTTGTATGTCACTAAAGGGCAGTAATACTCTTTGAATTGAAAAGTATACTCAGTGCGTTAGGCCATGATCTTTGAGACTTAAGTAAATGGTTAAAAAAATTAAAGAATCATTGGATGGTTGCGCTCAAGGATAGTAGTACCTATGAGAAATGTGCTCCCAACGGGGGTTATGCATTGAAGGAAAATTCCTCTAACCACCAATGTTTCTACTAGTAGATCATGTTCACGATTATTTCAAAATGTCTTACTTTAAAGGGAGCATTTATTAATCCTCGTGATGTTCCTGCCCAGGAGGGGAAAGTCTGGGAAGCCTATTTAACATTCCATTTTAGAGCAGTGTTTGTTGAAAAAATTGTAAAGACTTAACTAATAAACAGAGGTGCGGTCACTTCCAGAGGTTAAGTTGTGCTATTTTCTTGCTCAGAGTTTGTATAATCTTGCATTGGTCGCATGGGATTCAACTTTCGAAAAAACTGATTTCTATGAACTTTAACTTAAAGCTCAGCTCCACTCAGTTTTTACTGCTCTTCAATTTATTTTAGCACTAAAAAGGTTGCTGAAAAGGACATTAATACTTTAGGAACCAATCATTTTATAGGTAAAGGGAGTGGAGGTGAAAAGAAACTTGGGAGTCAAAGATTTTATTGCAGCTAGATGGCAGATGTCACTTGTAGTAGAGTTCAATTGGCAGCAAGTGTAAAAAGGAATGGTGATAATGACCAAGGGCCAAAGTTAGAAAGAGTTGGGAACTTGCCATTTTCAGGTCGGAGTAAAACGGTTCTTGCATTTTCATATCCCCAACATGCAAACTTCGTACATGTTGTGATGAGTTACCCATGTAAAGTTGGTGTTGTTATGTGAATACATATGTTCGTTAGAACAGTACAACTCAAAGCTTAAGCCTGAGTAATTAATACAGTCCAAACACTATTACATTCAACATTGCAATAATTCGAGGCTTTAAATTGCATGATATGCTTAACCCCTCCCCACAATAGCATTACATTCAACATTGTAATGATTCGAGGCTTTAACTTGCCTGATGTTTAACCCCCCCTTCACTTAAAGAAAGATACTCCCCATTCAATTACAATTACATTACGCACTTCTGAGGTACAAAACAAAAAATGAAGAAAACATTAAAACACAAAGAGGAATGTTTGAGGTCTGAGCGGAATTCATGACAAACTTATCGTATGTACCCCAACATTAAGAGGATTGGCTAATGCCATTAATTTTCCCGTACATTCTTGCTGACAGAAATAGTTAGCTGCCACTATTCCTGAGGTAGTTCTGATTCAAAGACACGTTTTTGCCTCATGATATGGCGCCAGTCAAGCTGAGGTTTAGAAATGGATCTAAAATTCTGAGATTTGATACACGTTATCCCCTGCCTCCCCTACTAAGCTTGGTTCTTTCGCTAAAGTCGTGCTATCGCCTTCTGTTCATCTGTCTGGGAGGCGGGGCAAAGACAAATTTTTGCCGGGATCAATTTCAAAATGGCATCTGTCGTGTAAAATCGTACGCTGGTGTTACCTTTCTTTCGCTCCACCATCAAAATATAACCTTGATGGTCTCACAAGCAACGGAAAGAACAGAACTTCAAAGTCGTAAAAGCGACGGTGACGACAGTCTCGATGAGCTAGTTTTGATCAGTTTATTTGAACTACGAGGAACCAATCGATGATGATTTGATCGGCGAGATAGTAATGGAGATTGAGATCATTTTAGAACTTAAGCAATTCCGTACATTGCGCGAGAAACTTTACTTCAAGTTACTTCGGAGAACATCGTACATTTAGACACAGCGTACGACTCTATGCAAACAAGGCATTATTGCTAGGCTTATGGCTGCTAAACAAGGTGGCCTAACCATTAAATCTATGGCTAAGGAGGATGTGATGAGCTATTGCAATAGTATCATTGTAGTGTTATTTCTTTGATAAATAAATAAGGGAGAAGAATGACTCTTCCAAGAGAATTAATTTTCTTATCCCAGAACACAAGCAACAATGTTTAATGAACAAAAATGAACAATTTTACCATTATACAGTGGACTCGAAAACGCAACCTACAACGCTTTTTTATTGAAAGCTGGATCATTAGATGATGCAGTCCAATAGGGGTTCAGCAGACAATAGGACAGGACAATGGCAGGTATGTAAATGCGGTACAAATATTTAGAACAAAAGGTCTATGCAGAAAATAATTGTAGTCAAAGTTAATAATGTAGTCAGAATAAAAGGTCTTTGAGTTCGGCACATTTCGTGCTTAAGTCGCAAATTTGTACCATGTCCATGAAGGTTTTTTACGCTCAGTTGAATTGAAAGCTTACGCACGATAATAAAAATCAAACAAGCTAAAACTCGGGTGGTCCATGTTGTTTCGTCTTGAAAAAAAAAACAAAACTGAAATAATGACAATGTAACCAAAATGACCTGAGTGTTAAAATTCACACAAGCCATGACGGTGTCAGAGCGACTGCGATAGGGCCACCCTAAAAGCCGGAACGGTGGAATGGCGGAGAATGACCCCCAAATCTTAAAACACGAAACGGAGGAAAATGACCCCAAATCCTAAAACACGGAACAGATGTCATGTTGCGCGAACTGTTCGTACGAAGACATTCAAGCGTTTGGCATATTCATTCCCATGATGATAACGCGCGTGACTAAAATTAATTTTTATTCATTTATTTCTTTTACTGAGTGGTAAAAGAAGGCATCCGGGCGCTCATCTAAATCTTCAGCTAAAAGAAGGGGCTCTCAGAAGGAGAGAACTTAATCGAGGGAAATTTAAATGTGCAAACTTAGCATAACAAAAGGCAATTAAACAGGTTTACAACGCGAAACGCAGCCATCTTTCATGCGTAATGGTTCATTTTTATTCATATTACTCAGTAAAAGAAATAAAATCAACGCGCGTTATCGTCGTGGGGATGAATGTGTCGAGTGCTTGAGTGTCTTTGTACGAGCAGTTCGCGCAACATGCCCTGACATCCGTTCCGTGTTTTAGGATTCAAGGTCATTTTCCGCCATTCCGCCATTCCACCGTTCCACCATTCTACCATTCCTCGATTTCCATTGCACCATTGCACCATTGCACCATTCTACCATTCCACCATTCTACCATTCCACCATTCTGCCACTCCATCATTCTGCCATTCCACCATTTTTCCATTTCACCATTCTACCATTTCACCATTCTACCATTCTACCATTCTGCCATTCCGCCATTCTACCATTTTATCATTTTACCATTCTACCATTCTACCATTCTACCATTCTACCATTCTACCATTCTACCATTCCACCATTCTACCATTCCACCATTCCACCATTCCACCATTCTACCATTCCACCATTCTACCATTCCTCCATTCTACCATTCCACCATTCTACCATTCCACCATTCTACCATTCCACCATTCTACCATTCCACCATTCTACCATTCCACCATTCTACCATTCCACCATTCTACCATTCCACCATTCTACCATTCCACCATTCTACCATTCCACCATTCTACCATTCCACCATTCTACCATTCCACCATTCGACCATTCTACCGTTCTACCGTTAAGGGTTCACCCTACACACCTGTCAAGTGTTGTTTAGGTGTCGTCATGGTGACGATCTCCAGTTAGCACAGTGAAGCAGGAAACTACATCGGTCGTCTTCGAGCGAACAACTAAGAGCTTGCACTGATTTCCTTTACGATGCATTGAGTGGAAGGCCACGTCAAGTCACACCAGCCGAGTTTTGCGGCGCTGTCATTCCGAGCAATCTCCATGACTTGTGAATTCGGTTGTCGTTCATTGTTCATCCATGAAACACACGCCTTGAGCAGTTTGTTTTCTAATTGTCATGTGAAAAAACTTGCGTATTTTAATGAGCCACAATTCGGCCGGATTTCACTTAACATTTCACTTTCAGATTCTGTATTAAGACTAAAAAAACTTTAGGCAAAATCGTTAAATTCGACCTGCCGAACTATTTCAGACTGTGAACTATTGCAGATAGTAAACTTGGTGGTTTGACAGCAGCCGTAGTCTTGTTCAATTAATCAAATTATTTGAACCCTTCTAACAGGGGATCTGATTGGCTTATTATAGCGTGCTTGATGAAAGTATAGAGCATGCTGACGACACTGTTTTTCGCTTTAGAAGTACACTTGATTTTGAAAGTTGGAAGTAGCGCCTGGGGAATTAAACATATTCTTTATTAGTTAACAAATATAGAAGCCTTGACTCTGCTCTGTTCTGCTGTAAAGCACCTGATTAGTTTTGCTAAGTTCGTGTTGAAGCATCTCACCAGAAAATTTGCAATTCTCTGAGTAAAACTTTGATTTCGGCTCCCCTAGAGCAACTCTTACGTTTCACTCGTGCTGTCCAAACCTCCCGCGTGCATCCAACCAATTCTTTAATGAACAATAACGGACAGACGCATAAGGAGACATCAGATCCGCCATCAAGAGGAGCATACGTTACCACATGTAGTCTTGCTTGCGTTACTACTCCCTTTCGCGTTTAGTAACGTACTCTTGGTTTGCAGCGCTGCACTACTGTCTCCATACGTTCCCTGCTCTATAACTCCGGTAGCGATTGCCTTCGTTGATTAAATAGAGGATGGTGCAAGGTGTAATACTTTTTTCCACAACCTTGGATCTCGCATGCTTTCGTTGTTAATCATCCCACCACTATGTGACCGTATTTGAACCAATCGTGTCACAGCTTAGCTGTTCTTATTACTTGCAGACGTTCTTCAAAGTTCTTTCTCCAAATCGCTTGTACTTCACTAAGGGATGAACTGCGTTAGTTACTGGGTACTTCAGATGCCTGATTGACTGGGACTCCTGGTTGGAGGAGTAAGTCGGAGTTTCTCTAGATTCTTTCTCTCTTGCGTTAAAGGTGTTGCCACGCTCGTTAAAAAATGGAGGTCTTTTCTGCTTCGCTTTAAGCCTCTGGTTCTCTACTCTTTCGCGCTCCGTGTCCACCAGACAGTCAAATGCTGATTTTTTTAACAGCTTGTACCTTTACCTTTACAAATTTTGCAGTATGACCGATGTTAGGTTGCTGGTCCGTTTGCTGGATTTGGTCAGCGAATTCAACGAACTTTTGCAACTTTACTCGGGTTTCTCTGCGCATGTAATTTTTTCTAGGTATCCAATTGACTTTAAAGTGTGTCTGCAGCTCTTCAATTGGTCAGCAGATGTCCTGTGTGATCCAATGCCTTTAGAGTGGGTCCTTAAGTCAATTTTGCCACGTGCTCTGAAACAATGGTGAAAGGGTCTCCAAATCTTTCTTCAAGCAGCTTTCTTGCCCTTTAATATCAATAGAAGAATTCATGTCCAAACAACATTTAAGTTGGTTCCTCAGAAAAAAAAAAGTTATCACA